ACAATTGGGAGTTTTTTTTTCAATTTGATCTCAATTCTGTAGGAACATGGAAATTAATTTGTATGAAATCTTTTTTTTTTTCTGAAATCGTCGATGGTTGAAAAAATATTAATTTGTAAAAGTATGGAAACGAAAAAAACCAAAAAAATATGATTGGAGTGGTAGACGACGAAGAAGAACAAAAGAATAAATTATTTGGATGGTTAGCAAAGCTGTATAAAACGACCGTCGACACGAGTAAAATCTATTTTTTCCGTGTTAAAAGGTAACAAAACGCGTCGTCAGATTTGGACCGTGTTAAGAAAATTGACAAGCGTGTTAAATTTATGAAACAAATTATCCTGATATATTCCCTTACTTAATTTCATAAATAAGGAACAATTTGATATATTCGTCTACTTGATGAATAAGAAAAGTGTAACAAGGAAACTAATTAAAATAGCCTCTCAAATCTAATTCTCTTTTTTTGTTTGTTCTTAGAGGAAATCTTTATCTTGGAATCTTAATCTAATCTTAAATTAAAGTTTATACTTGTAAACCTTTTCTCTTTTAAAAGTCAACATATTCGATCAGATATTTATTTCTTTTATAAAGTCTAATAAGACCTGAAACTTATCTTCACGACACAACGAGACCAAAAAAAAAAGAAAATATTTCAATCAAAGCAAAACAAAAACAAAAAATAGAGAGATCAGTGAATCAATTTTGGAGGAGAAAGAAAAGAATGGAGCAGCCGTACGTGTATGCATACCCACAAGGCACAGGGCCTTCGGGACCTCCGCCTCCACAAGCCGGAGGAGTGATAGTGGATCCAAGGTATTGCGCTCCTTACCCTGTAGATCTGGCTATCGTACGGAAGATGATGAAGTTGACGGACGGCAACTTCGTGATAACGGACGTCAACGGAAACCTGCTGTTCAAGGTGAAGGAACCGGTGTTTGGTCTTCACGACAAGAGGATCTTGCTTGATGGTTCTGGTAATCCGGTCGTGACTTTGAGAGAAAAGGTCAGAGATTAGTTTTTAAAAAACATAGCACACACACATGTATACACGTAACTAGGCTTGATGATTTATTATAATAAATAACTATGTTGGTTTTGTGATTGCAGATGGTGAGCATGCATGACAGATGGCAAGTGTTTAGAGGAGGGAGCACAGAACAGCGTGATCTGCTTTACACGGTGAAGAGATCGTCGATGCTTCAGCTAAAGACAAAACTTGATGTGTTTTTGGGACACAACAAAGATGAGAAGAGATGTGACTTCAGAGTCAAAGGGAGTTGGCTCGAGCGTTCTTGTGTTGTTTACGCCGGCGAATCTGACGCCATTGTTGCCCAAGTAAACTCTCTTTCCTTCATTATTAGTACTTTTTACTTAAGTCCTTTAGGACCCATCTCATTTATCAATTTCTACGCATCATCTCACATGTCTCTCCACAGTTCACACATTAAAGTAGCAATGTTTAAATCCGGTATTGATCTTTGGTTTACTGTTTTAGAAGCCGGTTTTGATTTCGGTTTGGATCAAAAGCTAATAAATAATATATTAGCTTATGAATTGCGAAGAATTAAGAAAAAAAAACATTTATTAATAGAAAGGATTTAATGGTATGGTTTTTGATGGGCAGATGCACAGGATGCACACAGTGCAGAGCGTATTTTTGGGAAAAGACAATTTCTCAGTGACTGTTTATCCAAACGTCGATTATGCCTTCATTGCCTCTCTCGTCGTCATTCTTGATGACGTCAACCGCGAAGACCGCACCGCCTGAATTATCTCAGTTTATAATTATCATCAATAATGTGCTATTTACTGGTATTGTTGTACCTATTCGTAGTCTCTCCACTGTTAAACTTTGTGTGATCATTTCAGTTGTAAAATAAGCAAATTATTGTACTTCTCGTTAATGTTTAATAAGTACAACTAGTAATAGAGTATTTATTTTTTTCTTCACATGATTTTTGTTTTCAGAATATCTAATTAATTTTGCATTAATGTTTCGATTCTCTTACCAACACTACCATGTATATCAATCATTACAAAATTTTATGTTAGTGACGAGACATTTCACAATCTATTTTTTTTTTAAACATTAATGAGAAATATACAATTATAAAAAAAAAAAATCCAAGCCGATCTCAAAATATTTAACGGCCCAAATGGTTATAGAAAACACACTTGCTGTAGGTCTCGGGAAGTAAAATAATCAGACAAATCCATGTGGCAATAACTGCTGGAGGAGTGGGACCGGGTGTTACTGAGAAGACATGGCCCAAAACAAGTGTGAACGAATTTGTCTTATTTATTTATTCTACAAGGCGAGTCTTATTTATTTATAGAGACATTTCACATACTATTTATAGACGAGAATTTGTGGAATAAAGGCATTTTTAGACGAGAATTTGTGTGGAATTTGGAAATGAGGCCATCTTCTTCTTCTTCCTCATCCTCTGCTTCTCCTTCGTTTACGCTGTCTTCAGTGACAGTGACGGTGGACAAAGCCACAAGCGAGCTTCTCCGCACTCCTGATTGGACCATCATCATCGCCATCTGCGATTCCCTCAATTCTAATTGCTGGTAAATCTCACAAATATTTGATGATCTTGCTTAGATATCATCATGAATCCCGATCTTGATGTTGAAATTTTGGCAGGCAATGCAAATATGCGATCAAAGCCGTGAAGAGAAGATTGCAGCACAAGAGTTCTAAAGTGCAATTACTCACTTTAACGGTACACTCTCTTTTTCCTTTTCATGAATGAATGCTCTCTCTTGTCTCTTGATTATAACTGCATCCACTATCTTCATCCCCTTAGTTGTTGGAGGCAATGCACAAAAATTGTGGTGACTTTGTGCATTCTCATATCACTAAGAAACATCTTCTTGAAGATATGGTTAAGATTGTCAGGAAAAAGGTAATTTATTTTATTTATTATGAGCTCTCTTTTTTAACTCCTCCAAGTCACCCTCTTTTTTTCATTTTTTTATTTTGTGGATATAATAATCTTTGATATGTTTGAGTGTTGAACTTGTGTGAAAGGGTGATTTTGAAGTAAGAAACAGAATCTTGCTATTGTTGGATACTTGGAATGAAGCATTCAGTGGAGTTCCTTGTAAATACCCTCACTACAATTGGGCGTACCAAGAGCTTAAAGTAACCCCACTTTCTTAGAAATTTATCTATCTTTCATTCTTTAGCTTATTATTAGCCTCTCATTCCTTTTGAATCGACAGGGGTGTGGGGTGACATTCCCACAGCGTTCCAAAGAAGCACCCCTGATGCTTGCACCACCACCTCCAGTGACACATTCTTCTTCATCTTCTATGAATTTAATGTCCATCGGTTCATTTAGAAGGCTCGACGAAACTATGGCTACAGAAATTGAGGGCCTAAGGTAAGCTGAGTGCCTATGTTTCTCAAAACAACCTACTACATTTTCAGTTACTTACATTGTTGATTGATTGTTTCAGCTTATCAAGCCTTGAATCCATGAGAAATGTGATGGATCTTGTGAACGACATGGTTCAAGCAGTGAATCCATCTGATAAATCAGTAAGTGTGATATCAATCCTTTTCAACAATCTAATACTATTTAAACCTCTCAATAATCTCTCTGGTTTGGTAATAAATATAATCTTTCACAGGCTGTAAAAGATGAGCTAATAGTTGATCTAGTAGAGCAGTGCAGATCTAATCAGAAGAAACTAATCCAGATGCTCACTACAACTGCGTCTGTCTTCTCCACCTTTCTGCTACATCTTCTTCTTCAGCTTTACTTGTTCCTTTTTTTCTTACCTGTTCTGCCTTCTTCTTATCAGTCATGAGGATGTTATGACACGTGGGCTCGAGCTGAATGACTCTTTGCAGGTAGTGCTCGCGAGACATGATGCTATTGCATCTGGTGTCTCTCTTCCTATGTTGGAGGCCCCAGAGACAAGCTCTGCCCTCAAGACTTATGATGCTGCTGCTCTTGAGTCTGACTCTGAGTCATCTTCGTCGTCGAGCAGTGAAAGTGAAACAGATGAAGAGGAGGATCTTAAAGATGACTTTATGCAGCTAGCCAAAAGGTTAACCATTCACTCACAAACTCAGACATTAGTATTTTACACTCACAAAGTAATTTATAGACATTCTCGAATTTGCAAGGCACGCTCTATTAAGTGCCGAACACAGCGATGAAGAAGAAGAAACATTGCTTCTAGGCACTGACAATGAAAAAATAGCGAAAACAGAAGCCAAGACAAAGTGCAAAGATCTAGCTTTGTTCGATACAACAACAACAACCACCAAGTCAGAGCAGGACATTATTGAACTTCTCAGCCTAACTCTGTCAACAACTGCTCTACCCTCCCCACAAACGCAACCTCAAATGCAACCACAAACGCAACCTCCATCGTTTTTTGCTGATGATAATATTCTTATGAACAGCTACGTTGTCCCCTGGGCACAGTCCCAAGAAGAACCGCAAGTCCCAAAAATGACTCAGTTTGCTCCATCGGGACCTCAGTTTCAGCCATGGCCTCTGCAGCAGCAACAACCGTTTACATACGGTTATCCTCAGCCACAATGGAGCGGTGGTCAAGTAAATAGTAATGAAACAACATTGTGGAGCCAAGGATGCAATGAGAATAAGGTTTTTGAGAGAAACTTGCAATACTCAAACTCCTTCCCCGCTAGAGCCACATGGACATCCGGTGCTGCCTCTGTGCCTACGGTGGTGGACGGGCAGGCGCAGAGGCCGTATGTTCCTCCGTACAAATTGTTTGAAGATCTTAATGTTTTCCGGAACGCAGATGGAGGCGTTAGGAGTAGCAAATGACCTTTGTTGTAATTACGTTATAATAGTTCCAAAAGACTTCAAATTACTACAGTTACAAATTAACAAAGAGAACTAATAAGACTTCCAAGGTGAGGTAGAAATCTTTGGAAACTTAATATATGATTAAGGAATAAATAGTTAAAGTTGACAGAGATCGAACTTTACTTGTGCCATTTTCTTTGCCCAAGAATCCAAGATGAATAGACAAATAATAAGAAATATGAAGATGTAAAAAAATACACACACAAGAACTATTTACAAAGCATTTATATGCGTAATATAGTCGCAAATTTATTTGGCAAAGCCTCCTCAATTAGTATTGCTTGCATCTTTTCATCGGAGGCTAATTAATCAACTCTACAAATAATACCCAATTTTACCCCAACTCCCTAAATTCACTTTGCATTCACTAACTTACTAGTTGTCATGATCTATCTAGGTGGTTGCGTGTTGTGGTGGGTGTATAAAGAGACGAAGGAGCCAGCAGCTCCGGCAGCTAGCAATACCTGGTAAGGGTGAAAGGCGAGGCAACTGACTGGGCCAATCTTTTGGGCCATGAAGGAAGTGTGGTACTTTATGATCCCAAGTTGTTCTCCCTTAAGGCTGAACACTTTTATTAGCTGTTTGGCTGACCCGCTCGCTATGATTGGAGCGTGTCTATGGACACCCAATGCTGTCAGTGATCCTCGGTGCGCGTCTATCGTTAGGTATGTCTTCTTAGTTATTTTTAGGTCCAGAAACTGAATGTCACCTGCTTGTGATGCGCTCACAATCTGAGACAACAAACATGTCAAGTGAGGAACTAAATGACCTTATGTACTGACTGACGAGAAGCAAATATTTGGGTATGTGTAACCTTTGCCGGATCGAGTCCAGGCTGAAAGCTGAGTCCAACTACTTTTTCTACTCTCTGATGAGGCCGAGTGGCACACACAAGCCTATACATTGGAGAAGTGAGATTTCTTCTAGTCTTTAACTAATAATCTTTGTTACTATGTTTAAAAGCAGAGTAACCGAATTAGATCCAAAGGTGAGAATTAAACAAGCTTAAGTAACTTACAAGTCAGGTGTCCGAACGTCGTAGAGTCTTACAGATCCATCCGCAAAACCAGCAGCAAGTTGACTCCCATGCACTTGAGAAGCCGACTGCAAATAAACACATAGACACAAATTAAGTTACCCATCAAGCAAGATCCAACCAGTCCTAGAGATCCTGTCTTCATATAGACAAAAGAAGATCTAGATAGTATCTATTTGTAACACAGATATACAAGTTTGCATATGCTAGCTTACAAGGGCTGTGACCCTGCACTCTGATTCAGAGGGCACAGATTTGACGAGCTGTTCTCTCTCCAGGTCCCAAAGCATGATTGATGACGATTCCCCAGAAACATACTGTAGACACCAGTAATGCGTCAAATGCAAAGTAAAGCAAGTTTCACAATTCCAAATATAATTAGATTGAGTGTTGTTAATAAAGTGGCTATATACCAAGTAACCCGACTGCTGTTGCCAGTCCACGACAGCGTTCAGGCCACGTGCACCAGGCTTGTGACCTTGGATTGAAGAAAACCCTGTGACAAGTTTTTGTCTACCCTTTGTTGCGTAGTCTTTCCATATACGGACTGATCCATCGCCTACACAAGATTTCGGAACCACCGGTAAAAGCTTTTAACAGCCATACTCAATCAATAACTAACTTGCAAAAGACACTCTGGCAAGAGTTGGAACATTACATGAGGCAACAAGTAGCAGAGAGTCATCAAGTTCATTGACAAAGCAGAGCTTTGAAATTCCTTTGTCGGGAAAATCGTGATTATCAAAGCCATTAAGAAGAGTTGCTTCCTCGTAATTCCACACTCTGACAGGAAAGACAACTAAACTCAGAGTCCAACAGAGGCAATTAAGTCAAAGAGCAGTTTTTAGATGAAGCAGTGAAAGAGGGATTTCAAGGTGAAGCATTTTATAAATGACAGCACTAGATAGACCGCACTGATCCAACATATGTGTTCCGAGAGATTGACATTGGTAAATTTTACAAGTTGGTGCACCTAAATACCTGGTGTAAGAAATTAGCTAGTATTTAGCCTTATAGAGGGTAACCGGGATACAAATTGTTGATCTGAAGTCTATAATTTAAGGTAAGGCATGAAAAAATTTGCATACCTGATCCGTTCATTCTCATCGGCAGCAACTACAATAGGAGAAAAAGGGTGAAGGAGGGCCGTCTTTGTTCCCGTTTCAAACTTTGTATCCCAATTAGCAATAGGAATATTGTTGATCCCGCTGATTGCTGGTCGAGGACAAAAGAAGGTTGTGATACAGTTCAAGTAACTAGTATAGATATAACACAAGACACAAGATAAACAGATAAAAAAAACTTACATGAATGCTGGCATTTTGCAATATGCTCAAGCGAAAACTTTTCTTTCTCTTCTCTTTGGCCTACTATCTCTTCATTAGCATCTGCTCCACCAAGAAGAGGTTTAGAAAAGTAACCACAGCTCCAGTTGTAGATAGTTGATTGTGGAAGCAAACTCCGTTCAGACCCGCTTACGCCTAAAAGCGGATCAGCCAATCCAGAGTCTGGAGAACCCAGCAGATGAGGTCGGAGCTCTAGTGAACAAACTCTCCTCAGTCCAGTTAAATAACTTGTTTGAGGAGGGCTTACCGGAGGAGTCCTAAATGTTAGCGGCAGGTGACCTGTCAACATGAATTTCATGGTTAAATTACTTCAAGTTTATAATGGACAACTATTTCAAGATTCACATCAAATGATGATTCAAAAACACTGCATAACCAGCTTACCTGTATGCATATCAAACCATGAGGATGAGCGAACTAGGCCAGCCAAAGGAGTGTGAGATGCTGATGCTGCAACAATTTGTTCAATCCCAATAACAGATAGCACACGCCGCCCAAGGCTTGCAATACGCGGAGATGAATCTTTAGCTAACGTAAACATAGCCAGAACACACTGCGAATAGATAGCATTATCCAGCGGTCTTGGCTGATGGACAACTCCATTGTTGACACCATCATGGATGATTCCAGAATCAGAATGCAAGGAAGAATCATCAGATAATGGAGATCCTTGCATTGGCCCGGAAGAAGCTTCATGGAGGCTGCTTGAGATCCTCCCTTCACGAGCCACTGGTTGGCTATCAGGGCTAGCTCTAGTCAGAGAACCCATGTGTGAAGAAACAATTGTTGAAGTTCCAGCGTCGTGAAACTTGGCCATTGAAGGGAAAGAAGTTCGCAGAGAACTTTGGGGCTTCCAATATGAAGCTGCAACTGACTTTAGATGCTGTTTGTGTCCAAAGGCAAACCGTGCGAGAGCTGTGAGACAATAACAAGATATTGAGTGTATTCAGAAGATACAATCCAAGCATTACTTTCAAGCTTTCTAAACGGGAGAGATATGAGTTAAAAGGTTATTAACTGATGTAAAAAAAAAAAAGTTATTAATTTGAGTTAATACAGACACTAGAGATCATATAATACGACTAAAAGATAAATCCATATAGGTTTTTTCTCTGAACTTAATGGCACATGATGCAAATAGTGCCACAATTATGCATGATCAAAAGTTAACATGCTTTGCATACCTACAGCAACCTCTGCTCGGACAAGCGGGCTCCCATCTGAAACTACATCTAACAGACTTTTTATCATAATATCTTCAATTATAATATTTTCATTATCATCAAATTCTTCGTCACGAACACCTTTACCAGAGTCAAACCCAACATCAAGTAAGGTACCCAAGGCAAAAACAGCAGCAGCCCTGACCTACAAGAGATTGGTGTTGCCTGCGATTAGACTGCTATTTCAAAGCAAAAAAGAAACTGAAATCTGATAAGTTAGCTAAGCTTCAGGCGAAGCACCACCTCTGGTTGGGCCTCGGAAAGCAGAGGTATCAACTTCTCAGAAGCATTTGCCTCCTTACCCATTATTTGGGCCTCCACAAAGTCCTCCCACAACTTTCCAAGACAAAGACAAAGCCATTGAAGAAACAATGGTTCTGGCGGTGGATCACATGGTTGGGTTGCTTCGAGGTGGCCCAGACAAACACCAATTAAATTAGCTTCAAGACAAGATTCTTGGCCTTGTTTGTAGCCATCGACAATAACAGCCAAAACAAACGCAGCCATAGCACGTTGTTCTGGGAATGCATCAGAACTATCTAAAAATCGGATGAAATATATGTGGCCCCGGTCCTTCACAAGATCTACTTGACATGACTATAAAACAAATAGAAATCTCTCAAACGTTAGCAAAATTAAAAAAATGATAGGAAAACGAAGTGGCACAATAGAACGATGATCAAGATAAGGAACATATCCCAATGTCCACAGATAGGAGCAAGATGCACATAGAAATGTTAGTCACCATTTTATGGCATTTAGAATTTATCTTAGGAATAATTATATGAACAACTTATATCTTGGTCTTTCTCATTATCAAGAAAACAGAGGCACGTTAATAATACATCCCCAAATGGAACTAGCAGAGATATAACAAGAAACTAACAAGCAGAGACATAAAAAACTGCTTGCACCTTATCAAATGCAAGAATCTTTGTCCATATGAAAACAAGAATCTGCCGTAGCTCAATAGTTGTTTGCTGCAGCAGCTTTACTACGCAAGGATATATTCCAACGGATAAGGCCTATAAAAATATTCACTTCAAGTCAGGACATACACACAAGATAACATAGGAGAGGAAACGTCTAAGAACCAAGGGAAAAACAGGACTTCAAGGCATTAGAGGTACCAAATCGACAGCCCAAGGACCCATATCAAGAAATCGTCCAAGAAGTACAAGAGCACGAAACCGATGGCACTGGCTAAGTAAGACCTGATACAAATCAGTTTCCAAGTAAGCTAAGATGGTAAGATATAAACAGATATTAGATGGAAGAAGAATGAAGCCAATGATTGCTCCTTAGATCATCAATACGAAAGCAGCAGTGTAAATAAATGAAAATAGATTTGAATAATTGCTCATGGACCATCAGAAAGGGGCCTTTCTAAAAAACAAAAGGAAGGGTAAATTTAGGGTTCAGGTGGCACCTGAAGAACAATAGGCAACTGCTCCGGTGGCTTCTTATGCTCAGATCCGTGATCAAGCCAGACCTCAAAAGCTGTCAGTTGCTCAGTGAAAAATAGACTTGGCTAGAAAAATGAGAGTAACAAGCATTATCAACAATACATACAGTCATCATACCGAATCATAATTACAAGGAAATAATGGAAAAAACAAACCTGAAACTCCGTATTTGGGTCCAGAAAAAGTTTAGGAAGCTGAGAAAGGCAGATTTCAGCAGCCATGTCCCATGCATCCCTGGAAAACAGCTATTAGCTGAGGTAAAGAGCTCACATTCACAATTCATCAAAATGCAAATTAGGGATAACGTCCAATACCACATATGATGCTGATGCGTAGGAGGTAGCATAGGATGGGATATTGGGGTACAATTCCCGGACCGCATTATCCTCTCAGCAAGTAAGAAATTCCGGAAAAGGCTAGCAACCAACAAGTCCTGTCTGAATAATCTCTGGAAAAGTTCTGTGGGGTAAAACTAACTTCATGAGGAACGGAGAAAAACAAACAAAAAGACAAACTTGAGAGTTCGGGGCCTTGATACTATTTTTTGTCAACAATTTTGCACTGAATCATTAGGTGGAAAGTTTGGGAAGTACCGCGAGGAAGCACATTCCAGGCAATGGTGTCCGTGACTGCAGTAAAGATCCAGTTCAACTCTCCTAACAATGTTTTGCGGTCATTTTGGCGGCCGGGAATTCTATCAATAAGTGATTCATCTATAAATTCCTTCAGAAGAGAACGTCTGCAGAACCTGCAAAAAAAAAGCCTCTGTGAAAGCTGAAAGCTAAACCAAACTGCACAGATCCGGATGGACATAAATGACAGGCGATAACCTGAAGAATATAAATGATAGGAAACGTACAAAAGAAACAGAGCCTAGAACTGAAGGCGTGCGTCTCAATAAGTAACATGGGAGGAGAAGGCTATCAATAGGATAATAAGATGATCCAGTTAGTCTAAGTAGCACTACTTATCTACCAGCACCATCAAATGTTAAGACTCAAAAAATTTACGATAAACCATATGTAAGCCTAAGTTTCCTATGTAAACTAGTATGACAGTTGATAATAACCATATACCCTGATTAAGTCAACTTTCGGGAATTGCTGCATCAGCCAACCTTCAAACTAAAAACATATAAAGTAAGGTATTCTATCCATCATATGTTCGATCTTACCTATGGAGAAAGCAAGCACGTGCTAACTAAAATTTTTTGATGGAGTAACACCACGTTTCAGACCAAAGAAAAGGTGACCCTCAAGTACTTAAAGAAGACAGAGATTAAAAGAGAAACTTACCATTTCAATGCGATCTTAATAGGTGTGGTAAGGCAAGAAGTAAACACGTCAGCTGGAAATTCAACACTCTGAGGAAGTGTCTCATGTACATCACAAGCAGCCAGTAAAATGCAGTCTTTCGGGGGCCCAGACGAGCCAGAAGATTCCCCAACATGAAGCTACCGTAAAGAGTGAAACAATTTGATCATCATATGAAAAGTCAATTGTAATACCAAGTCCTAAACTCCACTAGTATCCAGACAATATGAGTAATTTGTTACCTCAGCGAAGGCATTGACAATGACCCTAGCAGCAGAGCAGTCAAAAACGTAAATTGCGGGTGTCTTCAACCAGGAATCAAGTTCGCTGACTGGCAAGGGAATGTACTGGGTAAAATTCTGCAGACACAAGATGAGTAGGTGGCTGAAAAGAGACAAGAAGAACATGGACAGTGTAGAAAGAAAGCTAAGGAAAAACTCTGACCTTATTGTAAACCCAGATTTCACCATTAGGTGTAGGTTTAGGGACACCATGGCCGTTATAATGAAACAAAACTCGCTCAGTCTTAGCAGTTTTCCGGCAAGACAAGCACAGCTTCCTGACATCGTCCTTTGTAGGATCCAGTTCCACCTTATATCGAGCCTGATAAAAATTAATAGAATACACAAATGAAGAGGAAGCAAAAACTGTCAAGAAAGAAAGGAGCTGGAAATGAAGTAGTCACCCGAGGCAGCCATCTCTCGTACTGAATGCTCAAGCTTTGGCCTATAGTCTCAAGAGCTCTTCTTGGTGGATAGATAGAAAAAGGATCTGCGATAAAAACAAAAAATGACTGCGGGAAACATTGAAACAAAGGGATAAGACAGAGTAAGGTGAAAGGTGGACCTATCCAGCATTCCAGTGTGGCGCATGGAGAGATCTTAATAACATCAGGGGGATCAACAGTAATGTGCAAACACATAACTAGAGCTACACATCCTGTTTTCATCTGCAAATCAAAAAAAAAAAAGGAACCTGAGAATTGATTGATGCAGACAGCTGGAAATAGAGATCGAAACTTACTCGCTCTTTAAGGCGCCATCTGGGGGATTGGACGATGTCTAAGGCCTCGGAGGCGTCGTGTCTAAGGTCGCAGAGCACAAGAGTCTGAGGCAAGTATGCCATGCTTGGGGCGGCGGAGAGATTCTCATAGCTGCTGCTAGCAAAATGATTGTAAATGCTTGGGGGAGAGGCGATGATGGACATGCGGGAATCATCGTGAGTGGAGGCGCAGTCGTCGTCGTTGTAGCGGTGATTGGTGACAGCGGTAACGGAAGATTGAGAGAGCCTGGAGACCATCAAGTCCCCTAATGCCATCCAAAGGAGAATGCCAAATCAATCAACAAAGACGGACAAGAGTGAAGCGGAAACCCTAGTAACACCGGAGGGAGAGTGAGGTAGTGGTGGCGGCACAAAGAGACAAGTGTGGAGAGATGCCAAATTTTGGGATTTTGTCATCATCATCAGAAGAAAGGGGAAAGTCGTCAATGCGTTTTGTCTCCCTCCTCTCCTCTCTTCTCTCCTTTTTTCTTCTCTTTTTTTCTTAATGGAAATCAACATATTTGTTTCTTTTTCAATAAATAAAAATATTGCTATATTTCCATTTTTCCTTCAATTACAACATAAATTATTCAATGATTTCTTTCCATGTTATTTTAACTTTATATTTAGGATTATTTTCTGTATGTGTTTGATAAATATCAATTTCAAAATTTAAGTCATTTCTTTCTATAATTAAAAATTTAACTAGCTTTTTAGTAGTATTTTAAGACAAATCGTTTTGTATTTGAATAAAAGAGAGAGAGAGAGAGAGAGAGAGGTGAAATAAGATTAGAAATGCCTAAACGTAAGGTTGAGACGTCCGGTTCGGAGATTGGACTCATTGAGTAGAGACATGGGAGCTGAGTTTGGTATGATGGACTTGACCCCATGGACTCCTTGTGCTTCTTCTACGTCTCTCTTCTCGCCGTACAAGAACTCTGCAGAGTCACCTACCGAGAAGGAGACTATCGGCAACCCTTTTACTATACTCTCTTGGCTTTCGTCTCGGTCCTGCACATTATTATACATTATCAGTGTCGACCACATGACAAGAGAACCCTTCAATGAGGTTTAAAATCAAACTGCACACCTGATGGAGACCAAGTCTTCCAGTTTCTGAGTAGAAGTTGACTATGCAAATGTCTGGTGACATCACTGGAAGTATCCTCTCCGCATCTTCTGTTCCTGATTCTCTGTCGATGAGAGCATGTGCTTCCCGGATCGCCTCTTCTACCAAGACACTAAATGCAACAGGGATGTCGGCTGCTTTACTATCTATGTCAGTGTTTTCACCGTACTTGGTCTGTGGATCCCAGTTTCTCCCAAGGCACATCATTTGCAGATGAAGCTTTGAGCCAACTCTATACCCCGGTTGGTAAAATCCTGCGGGCTTAACACCAAGTTCTCGGCATGTTTTCACAATGTCAACCTGTAAGCATGTACAGCTCATTACTTTACTAGCTAGCTAGAGAAATATATGTAGATTATGTGGTCAATTTTTTACCTGTATATCATGTGAAAGGAAGCCTTTAAGAAGCACCATTCCAGGCCTTAGAACTCTGTGTTTATTACTAACTTCAACAGTTTCCCCGTTTGTTTCATCCGCCAAAGCCCAATCGTTTATGCTTGTATCGAGGACTGAAGAACAAATGTCGAAAGGCGGATCCTCTCTCCTCTTAGGACTTTGATCCCTACTCTTGAATCCAGAATTTCTAACCTTGCGGATTTTCGAATTATGAGATTGTGAACTCTTACCCGGAGAAGAAGGGTTGATAGAATCAAGCTCAACAACACTTGTTTGTGAGCCAGCAGTACCAGCGCCAACCTCAAAAGTTGTCCCATTCACTTCTTCATCTATAAACAGTGAAGCCCGTCTCCTCCTCGTACCTTGATCCCTATGCTTACCCCTTGTCCAATTTTGAAACTGTGAACTTTTACATGAACTAGAAGGTTTGGTAGAACCAAGATCAACCTCACTTGTTGGTGAAACCTTCTTCTTCTTAGAGCCGCCAGTAAGTGGTGGAAATTGCTCGTCATAATTATTGAGTGATTCAAACGATGTAGTCTGCTTTACAGAAATAACACAATGTGTTCCTTTAGGTAATACTTTGATTGAGGTGATCATAGGAAAATCAATGGTGAGTTCATAATCTCTAAACAACAATATTGCTTGATAGGGTTTTACTTAAAAGGCACGAATGCCACTAGATAAAAAAGGAAATCTAAGAGCAATAACCTAAAACGATCACTCACTGGCGTCTTTCGAATCGGAGGGTGAGTAGAAGAAGAAGAAGAAGAACTCATTATCTTCCTCGCCGACGGAGAGTACATCCGAAGGAGGATCTGGTGGCGGGAAGTAAGAGAAAACGAGTGATAGAGAGACTTCATCATAGGCTACGACAACACTCGCATCGTCTTCTACGCCGTCGGCGAATCAGCAGTACACTATTTTAATTACATGGGCCCATGGGCCTCGTTACATATATAGCAAGGGCCTTCCACATTAACTAATTTGTGGGAGGGAAATGAGTTTTCTACGCGCACGACAAGCGAGTCCGGAACACGCTCCAATGGCAGCCGCCGACACCTTCCTTAACTTAATTTAGTGTTTAAATTTTGTTTAATGTCATTGTATTCAAATGTATTCTTACATCTAAGAAGAAAAAAGTTAATTAAAATTTTGACTCTAAAACCTACCAGGTGATATGAAAGATGTGTATATTTTATCTTTTAAAATGGACCAAATGATTCTGCTATTTCCAGTGCGAGGAGGTTGTAGAAAACCAATCATATTCGACAAAAAATCAATTAAGAAGAAACCAACCACCAAACCCCATTCATTAATTTGCTTTGCTTGGAAGACAGCTATATTTACACAAAAGAAGGCTTGTTCAAACTCACAATTACATTTTTACACGGAACCATCCATGTACAAAAGTAGGCCTGGACAAAAAAACCGTACCCGAGTACCCGAACCGAAACCGACCCGAAAAAACCGGTTCGGGGCGGGTACGGGTATTAGCTATTTACTTTATTGGGTCTTGTATTGTCGTACCCGTGGGTATAGGGTAAAACCCGATCCGAACCCGATACCCGAACGGGTACCCGATTACCCGAAATTACTTATACTTATATATATATAAAAACTTTATATATATGTAATATTTGAGCTAAATACATTTATATCCAAATATCCGAGAGTAATTACCAAAAATTAAATGCACTTATATTTATATATTTCAGACTAAATATATTTATACGCGAGATGCTTGTAAATTTTTTAAATATTTGGACAAAATTCCGGTTATTCGGATAAATTTTTGGGTGAAACTCGGATATTTGAGTAAAATTGCGGATAAAATTCGGATATTAGAGTAAAATTTTGGGTAAAATTCGGGTATTTGGTAAAATTTTGGGTATTTGGATATAAAATACCCGAACCCGATGGGTGCCCGATTTTTCCGGGTATTTAGCGGTTCTAAAAATCTAAACTCGAACCGACCCGAACCCGATTAGACCCGAACCGAAACCGAACCGATATTTTAGATTTACCCTATTGGGTCCTAAACTCCTCTACCCGAAAAACCCGTACCCGATCGGATTTTATCCGAACCCGACCCGCATACCCGAATGCCCACCCCTATACAAAAGCCAAAATGAATATTGAATAATACTCCTTAATTATCAAAGTTTTAGTCATGCACTTAAGCCAAAGTGAATGCGACAGTTACTATAATAATCTTCTCATCAATTTACGTAACTCTTGTAACTGTTCATTCCCTTATATAACAAAAAGGAAAACGTATGATATATATGATTTAGAGTTGCGTTACCGACACAAACTGATTAAATATTATAATAATAACACAATGGAACACAAAATATACTAATATATGAAAAACATTTATAAAATTAATTTAACGTTTTATTTTTTTCCATATTTTCTAGCGAAATTAGTAGATGAAACATCTGCGGATTCCGAAGCAAGAGGTGGATTGTGATCTCTGAATGGGGTAGTCAGCAGAAGAGTCAAATGATGAAAATCTTCGCATGACATTCCTTTCCGACTGAAACTTGAACAGATCGTACTCATTGTCATCGATCAACACTCTCTCCGACATAGATGGTGGTGACGATGCCGACAGTTTCTTGGCCTTGCTACTATGATCGCCCGATAACCAGAAGAGCTTGGTCGGGATTAGTGCGAGGATTTTCTTGGTGGAGTTTTTGGAACGGCGGCGGATTTGGTCACCGGAGAAAGAGAAATGAGACGGCGGAGGAGTGAGAGGTGGCAGAGTAGGTAGCTCAGAGGAGGGGTGTTTGGGTGTGCCTGGATGAGATTCCCATTCGAAAGGGACGGAACCGGCGGCTCCGTCGTAGTAGTAAATTCTAAAGGAAGGACAAGCTGATGCTCCTGTTGCCGGCGACGAAAAGCGTTGTTTGGTCGACGGTAACTTACCGGAGAAGGTGGGCGTGTCTTGCTTTCTCAGTGACAGTGAAGCTCCCCGCTCAGATCCCGCGTTTGGCATTGTTGTCTTTGGAGAGTGAGAGAGTGAGAGAGTGAGAGAGAGAGAAGGAAAGAGATCTAGAGATATGTGCATGAGACATATGGAGTCAATCTATCATGTATATATGGGTGCCTGATGTCTTTGGTACGGTTTTTACTTTTGGGCTTATTTGTTTGGCTCTGAAGTCTATAGACTATAGAAACTATACATTAAATGCAAAATGTAATAATAATAATGAAATAATAGTGCGGTTAGTTAGCTCTCATAGTTAGAACTTATAAAGATATATCTCAAAGTGTACGTGTTGGTCCAATCCTACAAAGGCAATAACCACTCGATGGATATATAAAGTCATCACAACACTACGTATTTAGACCCTTGAACACTAAGTAATGCTACCCGGTACAAAAGAAAACACTCGCATATATGTATGATGAGGAGATCTAAATACGTCACACTCATGGCAAGATATTTGTAAAGCAATCACGATTCATCCATAAGATCATTTACATTACAAACCAAATATACAATATAACTCAAACACAAACAAGCGCCCACCGGTTGATTTTATTAAGAAAGGTGTTTTGCACAAAAAAAAAAAAAAAAAAAAAAAAGGTGTGGTTATTGGAGAAAAACATTTATATATTTGGAGAGTAGGACCATTGATGAAAACAATATGAATTGAATAGTTGGGTTTTTCTGATTAAATTGGAAAACAGTATTATTATGACTAAACGAGCCACACGACCCATGCATCCTACATGTGCTCCACATACCTCCGAGCATTGCTTTCCTTAATATACATACACTGATACACCCCATGGTCGGTCCATTCTATTGCATTAATTTCTTTCAATGTCATATTCATATATACACCCTCATTAGAATATACATTTCTTCGTTATTGCGTTGCTTCAACATCCAAAAACCAAAGAAAAAAAAATCATGACCACCAACATTATTGTTACTTAGGACGACAATTGCAGATATTTACACGTACGTCTGTTTGTAGGAAAAAAACAAACTTAGTTCTCATAAAGACTGAAAGTATATTTTTGAGTTTAAATTATATTCAAGATAACAACAGTTACTATAATCGAACGATCAAGGAGTTGAGAAATTAAACTACTATAGTATGATCTTATACACAAGTCAACACACAATTACATGATGGCAAGGATGATTCGGAATAGAGCAGCAGTCTAGACCACAACACTAGGGTTAAAGCCTTAAAGATTAAACACGAAGACATATATGATAACATTTTCTTCCGTCCATTAAAAGAAAAATGAGAGGAAATAAAATTGAAGGAATTAAAAAAAAAACACATTATTAACTACGGTTTAAACAGGTCCATGACAAAATCAAAATACGGAGATGAAAATGGAACAAACAATTTTGTCCAGAGTTGTATAAATTCGTTTTATATTTTTATAGCAGATGTTACTCCATTAAAATACTAGTTAGTTTATTTGTTTGGAAAATAAAATAGGTAAAGTGTTTATATTATATATTTTCGAAGTAATTTTTAAACAACAGGCCTAAATAGATTTGAAGAAAAAGAATAAAAGAAAGGACCAATCATCATATGATTGACAAAAAAGAAGGGCCAATCATATACAAATTCTGTTACTATGGATGGAGCTAAATGAGAGGAAAAAAAAGAAGAGTTCTTATTTGGTTGCACCGAAGATCGGTTGATCTCTTTCATTAATCAGATCTAATTGACCCAATTTTCATCGGAGGCCGTGTAAGTAAGCTCTTCCTCTTCTTCTTCTTCTTCTTCATATGTATGGATTCTATGGAATTAGGATCTTTTAGCACAGATGAATTTCAACCTAAAATTGTTGACAAAATCGGAATCCCCAAATTGTCTGTTGACTTTTAAATTCGGCGATTTCAGGAGAAATCAATCATAATCATGGGCGGTAGATTCGGAGTCCTCTTCTTCCTCTTGGGGTTATTAACCTGCTGGTGGTCTTGTGACGCTAGAGACCCGATTCTTCTCCAACCCTTGGGTAAGATTTATGAAATATTTGACATACATACACGTGTGCGTGCATCCCTAGAGTCTCTCTTGCTCCTGTTTCTAATTCCCTCGTTACAATTTTTTTAAAAATTCTGTTCACTTTATTAGTTGAATCATCATCATTTGGTAGAGGATTACAAATTATAGAGATCCTAATTGTATGATTGTTTAACAAGGGGCTTCACCATATATATATATATATTCGTGTTGATCTCCTCCTATGTACATGCTTGTTTCATTTGCAGAATCAGCTCATGATGACAACCAAGTCTGTGAACTGTGTGACAAGTATGTTACGCTTGCCATTGATTACCTTCAAGACTACGACAACCAGAATGCACTCGTCGAGGCCCTTCATATCAGCTGCTCTCAGATTCCTCCTCTCAAAAAACAGGTCTTCATTGACTTCTTGGTTGTTTTTGTTTTCTCTTTCCTTTGCTCAGTGATTAGATGTTAACTCATGTGTTTGATGCAGTGTCTTTCCATGGTCGATCATTACACCCAACTTTTCTTCACACAAGTCTCTACTATCACATCAGACCAAATCTGCAAAAGGCTTAACCTCTGTCAAGCTGCGACTCCGCCCTTTGCTTCTCAAGTCCATCAAGGAAACTGCGAGGCTTGCCGCCAGACTGTCTCCGAGGTTGTCGCCAAACTCAAGGATCCTCAGACTAAGGTTTGCCACCTTCCTTCTACTATCACAAACCAACTCTGTCTCTCAAACCTTTACTAAGAATTATATACTTATATTATTATTGCTGCTCAAGATGCCTTGTGAATGTTGCAGCTGAAGATAATTCGGTTACTTCTCAAGGAATGCAAGTCGCTTAACAATTACCAGGACAAGGTAAGCTAGCTAACTAAAAAATACCCGGCAAAGCGATGTACAGATTAAGCAGAGTTTTGTGATACTTTTATCAGATAAAATAATGTGATTGTTTATGATGGTGATTAGTGCAAGAAGATGGTATTCGAGTACGGGCCTCTGATGCTTACGGATTTGGAGAAGTTTCTGGAGAAGAAAGACGTCTGCTTTATCCTCCACGTCTGTCCAGGTCCAGCCACCCACCATGGCTACATTCCTACGGTGGAGGCATTGGCAGATTCGTAAATTCGGCAACCCGGTTTTCGTGGTCATTTGATCACACACATACCATGCCATGGCATATCATCGTCGTGCTAATTTAAGTTGGTAACCAGTGGTCATGTAAAAATACTGATTGATATATAAAAACATAAATACGTGATGATTGATTCTTGTGTGATTTGAAAAGAACGTTGTCTAAAGGCCCATTGTCCATTTATGGGCTTTTTTGGCTCATTTTTACATTGCCCTTGTTGAGTAGTCTCGGATTTTCTCTAAAACGTTACGCTGTTGTTGTGTGTGTACTCTTCTCATTCATTTTCTTCTCTGAAACCAGTGAGTTGGCAAAAAGTTCGGGGCCGCCAAGCTGTTTTATGTTCCAGCCTACGTAGACGGTCCCACAAGCGAATAAATGTCAGACACGTGTATAAAGACACCATTAGAGGATATTCTTGCTTACGTGTCACCTCGTCACTGGTACATATCAATCTTTCATCAAGAAACAAATTGTATACTAATTAATAAGTCTGTTGACCGTATCTATATTCAGAATTATGTGATTCATGAACTAAAAGTGAGTGATTTGTAACCTTTTATAACACAAAAAGAACAGTGAAACAAATCCTTTTCTTGGGAAATAAAATTAAATGTGTAAATGAAAATACCGTAAAACAAACTTTAATGCTGCATATCGTATAAAATCTCTTTAGCTGGAAACTAAACCAAAGGTTAACAAAAGGAAAAGAAGAAAAAAAAAAAATTATAATATTTATATTTTTATATTAAATTTAATTTTTCAATAATATTTTTAAACATATCAAATTATATTTTAAATATAGTCATTCAAACAAAATAATTATATTTTTATAGAAGTAAATAATATAATGATTATTAATAATTTAAAAAAACATTAATTAATAGTACTATTAATTATAAATAATATATTAAAGAGACTATTATTTTTAAAACCACAATTAAACATAAATTAATTTTTAAACAACATATAAAACCATAATAAAGATATATAAATTAAACACAAAATTACATATAAAACCATGATAACATAAATTAAAATACAAATAAAAACATACAAAACCAAAATAGATAATATATGTTTTACTCTTCACTTGATGATGCGCCAAACTTTTGCCATATACTCCCTCCGTCCCACAAAGATAAAGGTTTTAGAATTTTCACATTCTTTAAGAAAAACGTTGGAATGACAATTTTAACCTCATAACACACTTATATATATACATATATATTATATATATATATATATATATGTACATATATTACTTAATTATTTTAAAATTAAATTGATGGTTTTAACTTTTAACACATACTCAAAAAAATACGTGAACTATTTAACTCGCTCGCTCTAACGCCGTGTCGGAGTCCTATTATTGTAGATGACACGATAACCAAGTGGGGGTTTGTTGATGGGCTTGGCGATAGTGCTATTCTCTCCTGTCTTCCGTTAGTAGCGGCGAGCGAGAGCGTCTTGTTTATATCCTAGTTTTAATAATTTAATGAGTAGTTGAACATTTGTAATAAAGAAAGGAATGCAAAACGTCATGTACGTTTCCTATTTATTTGAAGATTCCACCGAGAAATCAATTGTGACACCATAAATTGTGATCTAAAATTTCATTTGGAGCCAAAATCAGAATAGCCAAAAAATAAAAAATTTAGAATGGAGCCAAAACGTAAAAGTCTCCGTGGCTATATATTGTTACAAAAATTTTTTTAACGGTGGAAAACACATTATCAATGACTTCTCATAATATTGATATAAATATACCAGTTATAAATAGTGGAAAAGAATACTCTTTTGACTTGAATCAAACACCTTCAACCTCTGAAAATGACGAGAATCCAAGTGAAAGTGTCTCTTCGATGATGACTTTAAGTGTTTCAGCTCTTCATGATTCTACTATGAATCCACCAGGTATTTTTTAATTTAAATTCATAATTTTTTCTAGTACTTTATTTTATTAATAATTTAGTTGGATTATAATTTATTTTTCATATGAAATAGGGAGTATTAGGAAACGTAACATAGAATGGTGAATCATTTGTATCCTACTTTAATTAAGGGTATAATAGGTAATTTGTTTTGTATTTTACATTGGAAATATAAAACGTTTATCTTTGTGGGACAAATTTTTTTTCTAAAAACTTCATCTTTGTGGGACGGAGGGAGTAGATTTTAATTATATTGGACATTTTGTAAATAATGACAAAAGATAACACATTATTTATCAAAATATCAAAATGTTGACAAAATATCAGATTATTCATCTCAGATTTATTTTCTAATATTATAGTATTTTATTAACTAAAAATATTAATTTAAACTTAACTAATATCAATTAAAAATTATATTAATAAATAGTTTAAACTTTGGTATAATAGAACTTGATATATAGATAATTTTATTTTATAAATTGTAGAAAAATAAAAAATAAAAAATAGTAACTTATAAACTATTTAATTGATATTATAAATCTTAGAGTAATTGAATTTTAAAAAAAAATTGTTAAACCAATATAAGAGTGACATGTGTATGAGAGAGAGAATGTCTCAAAGTGTCTCAGCTTTTTTGATTAAAAAATTATTTTTTATTTATTTTTGATTTATTTTTATTATGGGTGTCTGGAGACACCATTGATGGAAGTGCTCGGAAAGATAAAAAGTGATGATAAGTTATTTAAAAGGTTGGTAGAACAACAAGTTGATTAATAGAAGAAATAAATAATTAAAATTGCAAAGACGGAAAAGATGATGACAAAAAAATGGTTCCAAAAGGTAAAACATACATTACAGGTTGGCTGGTTCCATAAAATTAGTAAAAATCCCAAAATGGCATTTTCGCAAATTCAGAGATATCATCATCGACTTGTGTTTGGCCGCCGATATAATATAAAGGAAGGGGGGCTTTCTTCTCTTTCTTCTACTTTTCTCTCTATTTTGCATATACTACTTCTCTCTTCGCTGTCCGTAGCTCTTTCGCGCAAGCCCATTGTAATTGAGGTAATTCTTCGATTTCTAAAGGATTTTGTGAATTTCGTCGATGCGATTGAGAGAGCTTTCTCCTAACAAATCTAGATTTCGATACATAAATCTGAAAAATCTCTGGTCTGTTTATTTCGTTCCTAGGTTAGATTTCGTCCCCGTCTATTATATTATAGCTCAAACGCTTTGCATCCATGTATGGATTTCTGGTGTTTAGGGGAGCAAACTAGGCTTTTATCTCTCTATGAAAATAGATACGCCATGTCTCACTACTTGTGTCATCTTTGTTTATCCCTTGTGATTCATTTATGGTCAGGTAGTGGTGAGTGTTAATCAAGAAGAAGAGTGTACGAAAGCCAGGGAATGCAGAAACATGTATTTGAAAGCTGAACACAAGTGCTCTACACCCTCCTCCTCTCAGATCCCTTCTCCCTCTGGGCCCTTGTTCTCCCTCTTCCCTCATGCGGACACCCACTTCCGCTTTCTAAACCCCTGCCTCCACACCTTCCAGCCTCCTTCTTCTCAGAATGCTAGAAAAAACGCCACTTGGAAGCATGATCTTTGCGAAGACGGTTGATCGTCTTCATTCCTCCTCCTGAGTTCCTCTACCTGTCTTTATGTTGTCTGCATTTTTTAGTTTATTCTAGGTTGGTCTTTCTATAGTCTAGTAGTAGTGCTCTAAGCTAATCAGTGAGTCAATGGAGAAGAAAGGGTCTGTGCTCATGCTCCGTTATGAGGTTGGCAAGTTTCTTGGTCAAGGTACCTTTGCTAAGGTATACCATGCTAGGAATTTGATAACTGGTGATAGTGTTGCTATTAAGGTCATCGACAAAGACAGAATCCTCAAAGTTGGCATGACCGAGCAGATTAAGCGAGAGATCTCTGTCATGAGACTCTTGAGCCATCCTAACATCGTTGAGCTCCATGAAGTCATGGCCACCAAATCTAAAATCTACTTCGTGATGGAGCACGTTAAGGGTGGTGAGCTCTTCAACAAAGTCTCAACTGGGAAGCTGAGAGAAGACGTTGCCAGAAAGTACTTTCAACAGCTTGTACGGGCTATTGACTACTGTCACAGCCGTGGAGTATGCCACAGGGACCTCAAGCCTGAGAATCTGTTGTTGGATGAGCAAGGTAATCTTAAGGTCTCTGATTTTGGTCTCAGCGCTCTTGCTGACTCTAGAAGACAAGATGGGTTGCTGCACACGACATGCGGGACCCCTGCATATGTCGCACCGGAGGTCATAAGCAGGAGAGGCTATGATGGGTTTAAAGCGGATGTGTGGTCCTGTGGAGTTATATTGTTCGTCTTGCTCGCTGGATATCTCCCTTTCCGTGATTCCAATCTCATGGAGCTGTATAAGAAGATAGGCAAAGCTGAGGTCAAGTTCCCCAACTGGCTTGCTCCGGGAGCAAAGAGACTGCTCAAGAGGATTTTTGATCCTAACCCGAACACAAGGGTATCAACTGAGAAAATAATGAAGAGCTCTTGGTTCCGTAAAGGCCTACAACTGCAAGATGAGGAGAAAGAATCAGTTGACGAAGAGACAGAAGTGGAGGTAGAGACTAGCGCAAACGCAAGTGCAGAGAAGGAAAAGAACCGGTGTAGAAACCTGAACGCATTTGAAATAATATCGCTGTCGACGGGGTTTGATCTCTCGGGGCTGTTCGAGAAGGGAGAGGAGAAGGAGGAGATGAGGTTTACATCGAACAGAGAGGCATCTGAGATAACAGAGAAGCTGGTGGAGATAGGGAAGGAGCTTAAGATGAAGGTGAGGAAGAAGGAACAAGAATGGAGGGTGACAATGTCGGCTGAGGCTACAGTGGTGGAAGCGGAGGTGTTTGAGATTGCGCCAAGCTATCACATGGTGGTGCTAAAGAAGAGCGGTGGAGATGCGGCGGAGTATAAGAGAGTCATGAAGGAGAGTATAAGACCGGCTTTGATCGACATTGTATTAGCTTGGCACTGAAACATAATCTATTCTCTTTATGTGTTTTGTTTTTCTTGTTTTTTGTTTTGCCAATGTATTTAGTTTATGTATTTTATCTCCTCAAGTCTCATCTTAAGACGTGTTTCTTGCTTTTTCGAGGTGTCAGTGTAACAATAATAATATGAGGACCAATTATATATAGCTTTGAGTTTGTGTCGGCCTCATATATAAATAGATTTTTTATCAAATAAATAAACGAAATTGTGCCTTAATGAAATAAGCCAATAGACCGACCACGCGTTTATGAAGCATTATACTGTTTTCTTATCATTTCGTATTATTGTAGTCTTTTAGATGATGTGTGATTGTGTATAAAACAAAACAAAAACAGACCATTTTTTTTTTTTTTTGTGTTAACAAAGTCAAAATTTAATAACTCAATTTACGTCTCATAATTGGTTAATGGTGTGTTTTCTTTTCATATGAGAAAAAGAATCCAATGGTAAGATTAGTGGTCATACATGGGGTTGGAAAATGACAAAATGTCATTAATTGTTGGATGATTGTGATAGGCCCGATTCGAGAAGACGACTAAAAGGGACAAAACTCATTGAATTCACGGCCTCCAGTGGACCACGCTCGGCCCATAATCGGATATACACCATACATTTATCAGTTGGTCAAATCAAAACCTTTAATCACAGATGATGATGATGAGTTCAGCAGAGTAGTATTTTTCTAAGGGTTTTGGTTAATCCGCTTCTTTTAGTGGGCCAACCAATTTTGGACTGAAGGAAAAACCACCCAATTGAAGACTCTTTTTTAATCTAACCAACATAACGTGTTCGTCAGATTTTTTGCCTTTTGTGTGTTTCCTACTTAGAAGGAATTAATTAACCCATAACAAGTTCTTGAAAAGTGTCCGATGTGATTGTGTAGAGTAAAATGGATAATATTGCACTGAAAAGGTGATATATATGTTGATTACAGTAATTATAACTGCTAAAGTTGAAATTATTGAATAATGGATTCAATGTGGATACCTTGACGAAGAAATTATTGATGAGAATTATGGGTCTATGATATTATATTATACCACAGCCACATGCGATAGGATTAAATAAAGGCCACCAGCTATATCAATTTTAATACTAGTATATATACTCACAATGACGTGATAAGGACAACCTCTTACTTATCAAATAGGTGAAAGTAGATCAGTTTGTTCATGGCTCAAATCTGGACAGTTGGCTTTTTACATGTAATGACATTTTACATGCAATCTCCCATCGGAAAATTTTCTTTTCTTTTTTTTTAAAAAGGTGAATGTGTTTTTTTCATACGAGAAGATGACTGTGTTTTATGAGTTGTTAAAAATTACATACATACATATATGTAATGTTTAATCAATTGGTGTTCCATTTCCATATTGAATAGCTAATCCTAAATTAATGGTCAAGGCATTAAAGAAAGAGTGTCTTGTACACATAGCATCCGCGATACGTATTAGTGGCCATTTAAAACAAGTAATACATTTTTTTTCTTCATTTATATAAATTAGTTATAATTACATAAAGAAGAAGATACATACTACTTGCCAACTGAAATTTTAAGATTTGTCGAGAAATTTCCTGAATAATTAATTATGTCAGAGATATTCTCCGGGTAAAAAAAAAAAAAAAACAATTACAGATAACCCGGGATATATATTTTTTTAATTATTATGGGGATAATTATTTTGACAGATACCTAAACTACGACGTCGTATTTACTAGAGATGGTTCATGAGTGTCCGTCTGGTCTGGTTCGTGCACAAGCTCGACGAAGAAAGGCCTGAGTGCATCTGTCCATAGATCTCGTCCAGATGCAGCGGCTCTTTGCCTCTTCCTCACCTCTATCATAACCAGCTCGTCCGTTAGCTGGTTTATCTCGACCACCATCGCGAAATTACCTTTTTGCCCTTCAATCTTCATCCCCCACGCCTCCTTCTTCGCCACCGTCAGATTCTCCGCCGCCACGATCTCTTCCAGCTTCTCCACCACCCTCTCCGCCGTCCACGCCGACACGAACCTCTCCACTCGGTCGTACTTCCTAGCGTCGCCGAACAGACCGGAGAGATTGAATCCTGGGGATCCTGAGATGATGTCGAATGCGTTCATCCTCCTTGCTCCCATCTCGCCGTCGATATCGTCCGCCGGGAGTTTCATATCGGAGTCCTCGAGGTGGAATTTTGACATCCGATCGTCGTAGCCCTGTTTGAACCATGGATCGTGGATGATCTCTTCGATAGTGATCCTCGTCTGCGGATTGGTGTCGAGAAGCCGAGTCAGAAGTCGCCGGAGATCCGGTGAGGTCCACTTGGGAATGCGAAACTCTCCCTTGTAGATTTTCCGGTACATGACCATGAGGTTATGGTCGTTGAAAGGCAGATAACCGGCGTTGAGAACAAACAATATGATTCCGCATGACCAGATGTCGATTTTAGCACCGTCGTAGCCTTTCTTCGCCAGAACCTCCGGCGCCACGTATGCCGGGGTACCACAGAGGGTGTGGAGGAGGCCGTCGGGTCGGATCTGATCGGTAAGAGCGCTGAGTCCGAAATCAGAGATCTTCAAATCGAGCTTCTCGTCGAGGAGGAGATTCTCAGGTTTGAGGTCACGGTGAAAGATGCCGCGGGAGTGGCAGTATCCGACGGCGGAGATGAGCTGCTGGAAATAGCGACGGCTGAGATCCTCGCAGAACCTGCCCTTGGAGACTTTGGCGAAGAGCTCACCGCCTTTGGCGAATTCCATGACGAAGAAGATCTTGGATTTGGTGGCGAGGACCTCGAACAGGCGCACGATATAAGGGTGGCGGAGACGGTGCATGATAGCGATCTCCCTCTGAATGTTGCCATTGAGTCCTCCTTTCTGCAGCCGTAGCTTGCTCACCACTTTGATCGCAACGCTCTGACCCGTCGCTGTGTTCCTCCCGTGGTACACTTTCGCGAAGGCGCCGCATCCCACCAATTTGCCGACCTCGTACTTGCCGAAGAGCTGTCCACGGCGGTTCTCCGGCGGGAATTCCACCGTGTCAGAATCTACCATTAAAACAGAATCTGCAAGGTCAATTACGGTACCCAGAAAATGAGCTCAGCGTAAACATAGCGAATGAATCAACGCCGTAGAAAAAGTCTGAGAGAGAGAGAGAGAGAGTGTGTGTTTGTATATTAATAGAAGAAGCGAAAGGAAAAACTAATAGTTTGAACAAGTAAAAGATATGAACAAAAGTAACAGATATTTTTTAGAGATCCGTTACTGGGATCTTCTTTTTAACAGAGAAAACAAAAGAGAGAGAGACAGATAGACAAATTGGGATTCGGATAAGAGATAAGCCAAGCTCTGTATCGAGTTGTTACATATATATTAGGAAGGGCTGGCCCTGTCTTGAGGTAGGAGATGAGGGTATTTCTGTCAATTAATCAGATTCTTTTTCCCTTTTTTTCTTCTTATTTTTTCCTTGTAAACGACGTGGGAGATTTTCTGTTTTTTTTTTAAATATTTTTTTCATATAAAAAAAGAAGAAGATGTGGACAAGAAGTTGAATTACAACCATACAGGTGTCCCGTGGCTGTTGTCGTGTTGATTTGGTATCTCCGAGGGTTTTGGCTGTAGAATGAATGATATACCTATTTCACATGTATATTCGTCGTATCTTCGGCTAATATTACTCCGTATTAATTATTCTTACAAGGAGAACATAACATGTTTCTTCAGATATTGTTGAATATTAGTAGTATTATATGGTCAACTCAAAACGGTGAATTGTTCTTTGGACTATAGCCGAACAAACTCCAGTTATTCCAGCTCAATTCATTTGATCACTGCTTGTTTTAGTCATCAATCGTGATTAAGAACATCCAAAGTCCCTTAGTTCACGTCCTAGAATCACTGTTATTTCCTAATCTTCCTCTTAATCCTACCTTCATTCTTTATCATGATTCTTATGTTTATTTTCCCACTCCATCACCGTCCCAAAAAACTTGAATCATTTTTTATTTATTCATCAAATTTAACCAATACTTGGGAAAATATGTTTCATGCTGTGGTTAAAGTTTAATACCAAAAAAAAAAAAAAGATAAAATTTATAGTGTCAATTTTTATAGAAAAGCTACCACGTGATCTACTCACCGCATACACGGCGTCGACCAAAATATAATCAATTTTAATTCTTTTTGTAATTTATCCAAAAAACACACAAACTTTCAAAAATTAGTACTATTATACATAAAACCAAATCAACAGCTTTTTAATATTTACAAATACACTAAAAGACATGTACGGGGATCGAAAAAAAAAAAAAAAAAAACAAATCACCGCGTGAATAATATGTACGAAAGATTTCATTTGATTTTTTTGTTCCTGCTGCTATTTCAGAGAAGCTTCTTTCGGAAAAAAAAAAAAAAAGAAAGAAAGAAAGAAGCTCCTTTTTTTTTTTTTTAAGAAGCTCGTTAAATAATAATGAAATCAAGGTTCTGTCAATAAAAATGGAAAATTATATAATTGCCCCTTTTCTTTCGTTGGTTCGAAAGGTTGTTCCAATCAAAATATCTACTGATTTGAATACATTATTAATTTAGCTTGTTATTTTCTATTCCATGCAAGATTAATATGACCAAAATTGTAACCCATTTTACGACAAAAGTTAACGATATAACAATATCGTTATGGTTGTAACAATATATAATATATGAATTCAACATAAATAACTTGACCTCTTCAAAAAAAGGGAAAAATAATATAACTTTTGAAGTAATTAATAAAATAAAACATAAATAAAAATAATTTTTAAAATGGAATATACGAGGTCCACGTTATAAACACACGTAAATCAAGAATAAAGAATAAACGAGGGCTGCAAGAGGAAAAATAAATGGGTTTTGCGCAGAAGAAAGAAACATACGATAACATAATTGATATCTCCAGTAAGCATTGTCTGACGTTTATAAATGGTCCGGCGACTATATAATTCACATTGATTCAACATCTAATTATAGTATTTGTCCGTTCACGACACGATATGTATTACCAATTCGTTTGTTAAACTTTATTTCTGGTAACATGGATTTACTCCTTTCGTTTCACCATAAAGATCAATTACAAACACTTAACGTTCAAAAGACAACATTTTTTTTCTTTCTCAATCTTAATAGACACACTCTTATGTCAATATTCAAGTGCAAGAAATACTAGTATAAAACTAACTAATGCTTATATCATATGTTTGGTCTGACAATACCCTGATGTTGAAATCTCTTCAATATTCTAGTTCTTATGAATCATTTTCATACATATTTAATTTTTTTAATACACATATACTCGTTGAAATAATTTTTATGGACTTTAAAAATTATGTTGAGTATGTGGAGTGAGTCAGCATAAGTCGTGATGATGTACATATTTAACTAATTTAATGTTTTTTTTTTTTAATCATATAGTTTATGGTCATCGCGTGATATTACAAATCAGATGACAAGACTGAAGGCTCACGACCTCACTGCTCGTGAGATTGCTTTTTGTTGACCAACAAAATAAGTGTATTAGTGAATTAGAATTATCATACGCAACGAAGTCGTGAACGTGAATATTGCAATACATAATAAAGAAATTAGTCGAAGTTGATTCTATTTTTTCTCATGTAAGCTCTTTAATACCGGACTGGTTTTCTCCCGTAGAAAACCGCCTATTTCTAGCTTAAATTGATGACTTTATTTTGCTGTCAAAAAAAAAAAAATTAGTCGAAGTTAAATCTATACAACAACCCATAAATGACAATATATCAAGGAACGCAAAGATAATACTATATTTATGGAATTCCAGCAGAAAAAAAGAAATCTTGGCTTCAAAATATAACTGTGAAAGTTGTTGATTTAATCCTACAGGTTCATTGATCCATCACTAGCTAGTATTGTCAAATGTTGATTGTAGATAAAAAAAAAACAAAAAAAAAGATTATAAACCAATAACCCAAACTTTCCTGGGTTTGAAAAAATAAATAATGGAACAACGTGATTATGCAGCACTCACTGAATAATCTATAGAACTCTGATGATGTAATCATTGATCAAACCCAATCACTACACTACTACAGTGATTTTAAAACATGTTTAAGGTAATACCAACTTCTTTAACAACAAATTAGTAGTAGTGTTTAAAGATCAAACACAAATTGGCTCCGTTACAAGACATTTAGCTGCAGTATCAACAACACAAAATCATATTATCCCTCAGAAAGCCCAATAAGTGCTTTGGCAGTTCATCTATATACATTAATAAATGCCCAAATGCTTTTTCTTGTATATTAGCCCTTCCGACGGAACTACTGATCTCATAAGAAAGCCCAATTTTATTCTATTGGCCCAAATCCTTTGCTTGTTTTTTTTTTTGGGTCCGAGATAGAATATAAACTATTTGGGATGAGAGTTGATTGATATAAAAAAGCAAAATATATACACTGGCACTTGGAAGACAAAATTACAATAATTAATCCAAATTTAGTTATGCTTAGTCTGTGCATTAAGGCATTGCGTATGAGTGGTGCCATTGCAATCCATATAAGCTATATTATATTGTTTCTCAAATTAAATAGATACCCAATAGCCAATATATTAATTTGACACTGAGAATTGCGTGATGATTCTTGATTTGTTTTGTGGATCTTTTCTTGTGGTTGACAACAACAACAACAAAAAATAAAAATAAGAAGAAGATATTATTTTGTTGAAATGAAATTTATATAAATCTAAACAATAACCTTTTTATTTAAATTCCAAACAGAATATTTTAAAAATGCAAACATCTCAGAAATTGCTTTAAAGGGAAACTAATTGTTTATTATAATAAAGGAAAGCTAACTTTGGTGGTAATGGAAACATTTCGTTATATAATTGTTTATGTGCTAGTTTTGAATAATTCATCCAAAAAGTAGAGAGAGCCAGCACAGCAGCAGATTCAATTATAATTTATATTAAAAATATATAGAATGATTAGTTATGGAGTAATTTAAATATTTGAAAGAAACGAAGACGAGATCAATTCTCTCTAACAAACTTGTACCAACTGTTGCATTCTTATGTCATAAAAATGAAGACCTTATCTTTTCATTATTCTTACATTTCTTAAATATATTGTAATCAGTGTTGCTCGACAACTCTCACGAGGCGTGTGTTGTTCTTGAAAATGTAATTAAGGAAGAAAATCCAAAAGCAGTCATTAGAAAAATAAAATTGGTTTAAATAAAAAATTAGCATAAAAAAATAGAAGAGAAAAAGTCAAAGAGAAGGAATGTTTGACCTCTTGCCTCTGGGGCTCCTCTGTAATCTATAAGGCGGCTTTGTCCTCTGTGCGACTGACTGACTTCTTCTGACGGCTCCGTCCACCGTCGTCTCTTCTTCCGTTACGACTTTTTCTTTTAATCAAAATTATTTTAATCAAAAAAGAAAAGTGAAACGAAGCCAGCTCCTCCTCCTCTCTGCGTAAACCAACTACAACAAGAGGCCTTAAACTCTCTTTCTTTCTTTCTTTCTTTCTTTTCTCTTTTCCATTCCTAACCAAACAAAAGTCCTTTCTTTCTTCCTTCCTCATGGCTGTTACTCTTGATTCTGCTTTTCCGGCGAGAAAACGTCGGCCTTTGGTGGTCGATTCCCCCAAGCTTTCTGATGCCAAACTAACTCGGTCTCTGTTCCTGGCCTCTCATGAGATTGCTTCTATGCAGCCTCTCCGCTTCATCCTCCGACCCAATTCTCTCTCCCTCATTCGCAAAGTCAAGATACTAGCTTCCGTCTTCGATGAGCTTCTTCTCCGCTCCCAGCTGCTCGTCTACTCTCAATCCGCTCAGCTCTGCTTCGAGGAAATGCAAATCGTTATGCAACGTATCAAGTCTTTGATCGATGACTGCTCTCGTGTTAGCAAACTCTGGTTACTCTTGCAGATCGATATCGTTGCCTTCAACTTTCACGAGCTTCTCACCGATTTGTCCACCGTTCTTGACATTTTACCGGTCCATGAATTTGACTTAAGCAACGACGCCCAAGATCTCATCTCTCTCCTTAGAAAACAATGCTCCGACTCTGTTCAGTTCGTCGATGCCCGCGACCATGCTCTCCGTCGTAAAGTCACCGATACAATCGCCGGCATCAAGCACCAGATCTCACCGGATCACTCTAGTCTTATCGAGATTTTCAACGACCTTGGTTTCACCGATTCTGCTAGTTTGACCGACGAAATCCAGAGACTGGAGGACGAAATTCAGGATCAGATCGACGACAGATCCAAATCCGCAGCCGCTTCTCTCATCGGTCTCGTGCGTTACTCTAAGTGCGTCTTATACGGTCCCTCTACGCCGGCTCCCGATTTCCGCCGCCACCAATCCTTATCAGACGCAAACATCCCGGCGGATTTCCGGTGTCCGATCACCCTCGAGCTTATGCGGGATCCGGTGGTCGTCTCCACCGGTCAAACATACGATCGTGAGTCGATCGATCTATGGATCCAATCGGGGCACAACACGTGCCCGAAAACAGGTCAAGTCCTCAAACACACCAGCCTCATACCAAACCGTGCCTTGAAGAACCTGATCGTTTTGTGGTGCCGCGATCAGAAGATACCCTTCGAGCTATACGGTGACGGCGGCGGAGAACCTGCGCCGTGCAAGGAGGCGGTCGAGTTTACGAAGATGATAGTTTCGTTTCTTATCGAGAAGCTCTCCTTGGCAGATTCTAACGGTGTCGTTTTTGAGCTCCGAGCGCTCGCCAAGTCAGATACGGTGGCCCGAGCATGCATAGCCGAGGCTGGAGCCATACCGAAGCTGGTACGCTTTCTAGCCACGGAGTGCCCGAGCCTTCAGATAAACGCCGTTACCACGATCCTAAACCTCTCCATCCTGGAACAGAACAAAACGAGGATCATGGAAACTGACGGAGCTCTAAACGGCGTCATCGAGGTTCTTCGTTCGGGCGCCACGTGGGAGGCTAAGGCTAACGCCGCAGCGACTCTGTTCAGTTTGGCGGGCGTCTCGGCCTACCGAAGAAGACTCGGGAGAAAAGCACGTGTCGTAAGCGGGTTGGTTGATTTGGCTAAGCAGGGCCCCACCAGCTCTAAGAGAGACGCGCTCGTGGCGATCCTGAACCTGGTGGCTGAGAGAGAGAACGTGGGGAGGTTCGTTGAAGCTGGGGTAATGGAAGCCGCCGGAGATGCATTCCAGGAGCTACCGGAGGAAGCGGTGGCTGTCGTGGAGGCGGTGGTCAGGAGGGGAGGACTCATGGCGGTTTCAGCTGCTTTCAGTTTGATACGGCTTTTGGGGGAGGTGATGAGGGAAGGAGCGGACACCACAAGGGAGAGCGCGGCGGCGACGCTGGTCACGATGTGTCGGAAAGGGGGGTCGGAGCTAGTGGCGGAGATGGCGGCGATTCCAGGGATAGAGAGGGTTATATGGGAGATGATAGGAGCTGGAACGGCCAGGGGAGGGAGGAAAGCGGCGTCGTTGATGAGATATCTAAGACGGTGGGCAGCCGGAGATACACATGACACGGCGGCGGAGACGCAGAGCATTGTAGTGCCAACGCCAAGTAGGATTTTTAGTCCAGTTTTATGATTTTTTTATTTTTCCCTCCTCTTCTGTGTGAAGGTTCAAAGGTTCAAAGATTTTTTTTTTTTTGGATGATTTGGAAAGAAAGTGATTCTTTTACAAAGAATTAAAAGCTGCTGCAATTGTAAATGTAATTCGAGAAAGAAAAAGAAAAACGAGAGTTCCTTCTAGATGAACTTCTTTACACAGTGTTATGATGCTTGTTATTTACTTATCTCTCATAGCTCATAGTCAAATGTTTTAACCGGAATTAATAAAAAATCTTGAAAGCGTATTAGAGTTTATCATATACTATGTGTGATGGGTAAAAGACAAAAGAATTGGCACAAAATTTCAACAGAAAAGACACAGCAAATCCGAATCAATTACGAATAAAAGACTTATTTTGATGGCTTTTATAGAATTTGCCATTTTATCAAAAAAATTTGAAAATTGCCATTTCTTGTAAACAAAAACACAAATTTACACTTAATGCACACAAGCATGTTCCAAAAGGAGTGACAATGATTGCAAATAGCAACAATTTTTCTTTCTAGTCTCTTTTTTTTCTTAACGTTTTTGGGTCTTTCAAAGCATTAAAATATCTTCTTCTTCTTTTTTTATTCCTCTTTTGTTTAACGGTTCATTTTACTACATAACCAGAAAACACATATGAGGAAAGAAGCAAGGGAGTTGAGAATTCATGAAACAGAGTGAGAGACATGAAATATGTTGAAACCAAAGAGTGAGGTTAGAGTTTGTCATCGAACCAGAGCTAGCAGCGGCTACCATTACCAACTGTATATCTGAAATAACTCTAGCTATACATTTGTTTAGAGATCTAACTACCGAAATTATCAGACGAGAAGATTTTTTCTATATGGTCCCCATTCTTTTGTCCTTTCCTTCTCCATTAATTATATGATGAGTAGTACTAGATGTTCAAAGGAAAAGCGGATCTGAATTAATTTCTTACAACCATGAGAAAACCATGGCAGAAATACATAGAAATGTAACTTGGTGTAATAATAAATCCATGAATATGTTGGAAAGAGGGTTTAGCGTCCGCCCTTTGAAACTAAGATGGTAAATTGGTGTTTCGATCTTTATTATTATTATTTTTGGTTTCAATTTGACAGATTGTTTCTTTAGTTAGAGTAAAAAAATTAAGGAAGAGGATATAAGAGATTAAGAGGTGCTATCGTTTCGTGAAACTATTTGGGCCAATCAACATAAGGCCCATTTTAAAATTTTGTTTGTTTCTGCAAGAGAGCCCAAGCGTGCGGTAGTGTTTGAAAATTGAAAACATGTTTATTTTAGACTATCTGCATTCTTTATTAGTGCGAAACTCAAACACCTACTTACGGAAACTATATGGAACACAATAATACTTCTTTTTCTTTGACGTTATCCTTTATGATATCGTGGTGCACATTTCAAAAGGATTACAATGACCACGATTAAACTAGTACTACTAGTTAGTACAAACAAAAAGGCTCTATTATAAAGTACACACTACTTGTATTACTAAAACATATAAAAAAAAGTGTCAGTGTCAAAATGTCAATGTAATTTAAATTAAGGGGAATTGAAAGGGCCAACATAATCTAACACAAAATCAATAAAAATGGTGGAGGATCTCTCACTCACACACCTTTATTACCTTTATTTTTCCACGTAAGTGGGCCTCACACAAACCTCTCTCCCTTTATAAATTCTCCACTCTTCACACTCACACTTTTGTTCATCTCAAAGAAAACAAAAGAATCAGTAGAGAGAGTCAGAGATAATGGGTGGTAATAGTTATCGGTTTAAGCTATCGGAGTTACTCCCTAACGCATGGTTTTACAAACTTAAAGACATGGCCAAATCTAAGAAGAAGAAACTTCAGAGCCAACCAAACAGCACCTCCTCCTCCAAGAAGAAACGCCACGCAGTCCCTACTCCTACGTCCACGACGGCACGCAGTCCTAGGCCTCCTAGGCGCTCTTCTCACTCTTCCAAACCGCCACCCTCCCATACGCCCAGAAAGTCCTCCGGGAACCGTCTTCGTCACCGAGCCACCGTCGACTCTAAGTCATCCACGACTTCGGGAGACACCACTGCCACAGAAACTGGTTCTTTCTCACCGGAGTTTCGCTCGGATCAAGTTCTCCTCCCCGACGAGTCATTAACGGGCTCATGGCATAGCCCTTGCAGCTCCAAGCTATACAAACCCGCAGCCTTTACGCCGCCGCCGGAACTCGATCTCCGGCCCATCATCACCAAACCGGTCGCCACCGGACGGAAAACGGCGGTTAGTTCTCCGGCAGGGGTGAGACTTAGAATGCGCTCGCCGCGAATCTCGGTGAGCAGCAGCGCAAGGAGAAGCGGGTCGTCGGCGCGGAGGAGCAGGGCTGTGGTGAAGGCGTCGGTGGATCCGAAGAGAGACTTCAAGGAATCGATGGAGGAGATGATCGCTGAGAACAAGATAAGAGCGACAAAGGATCTAGAGGAGCTTTTGGCTTGCTATCTCTGTCTCAATTCAGACGAGTATCACGCTATTATCATCAATGTCTTCAAGCAAATCTGGCTTGACCTTAATCTTAAACCCCATTCCAACAAATAATAATATTTGTTTTTTTTTTTTAATCTTTCCTTTTATATATATATATATATATATATATATATATATATATATTTTCCTTTTATATATTACTCCTTACTCCTTAGATAATTAATCTCTACTGAATAAATGTAAATATAGATGATTGTTCTTGTACTAACTATTTTATATGTGGTCTAGACTCTAGAGATAGCCTAAAGAGTCTTGTCCTTGTATAACGGCCATTCGTTGATATCAAGTACAGGAATTTCTATCCCAATTGGCACTCTTCTAATAATCTTACTTTGCACGGACAAACAAGTACTGCGGCTGCTTTAAAACAAATTTAATGTGGACGACTCTATTAATCTTATCTACATAAATCATACTCCCTCCGTTCCTTGAAGTTTGGTGTTCTAGTGTTTTGAGTTTGTTCCACAAAGATTGATTTTTTATATATTTTTTTATTTTTAATTAATTGATTTTAGTAAATCGTAGATTTCAAGGCGTAATGATTAACTGTTTCAGATTACTATTGGTTCATAGTTTATTAAAAAATATTTAATAAAAGTAAATAATCAAACAATGATTGTTTCTTAAGAAATGTGAAATCTCTAAAAAATCAATCTTCTAAGAACAGAGGGAGTACTAAACAGCTCTCTCATAATAGTCTAAAATATAAGAGATTTTAAAACGATTGGAAATTCATTGTGATCATTATGAGTGGGCAAGTGTACATGTTGAGAACAATTACTTGCATGTTATGAAGTTGAGACAAAAACGATAGACTAATAATAGTCTATCCATTATACTATTAGACCTACGATACCGAAAATTCATTGAAACAGCATCTGCGGTATTTTCATACCTAACTTTGGATATGTGTGTACGTGTGCATTTCTCAATTTCACATCTATCTTTATTTATTTCTTTTTGTGTAATTCACCTTTTTTTTTTCCTTTGTATTGTTTTCTGTATAATATTATATGCATGCATTGCATACCGCATACAAACAACAGTGCGACAAGCAAGAAGAAAACAAAACCTTTTTACTTTAGGCATATAAGTGCCAAAGAAAACCATATATTCAATTGGGCTGTTTTTATTTATTGATTTCAGTGATGGGTGACAAATGACGAGAATATATAGAAAAAAGTACTAACATATACTCCTTTTGTTCTTAATTATTTGATATTTTAGATTTTTTACTTATTTCATCAAGATTGATGTTTTCTAAAAATATTATTATTTTTTTTGTTTGTGACTAATAGTAGAAAGATAAAAGTAAAACTAATATTATTAAACTAACAAAATAATAATTAAAAATATAATTTTTTTTTTAATTTGTGTATAAAACTAAAACATTATTGTTTTAAGAACAGTCGAACAAAGGGAATAGACAAAAAAAAACATAGTTTAAATATAATAGAGAGAAAAAAATTAGTAATGAATAGTTCGTATGGACCAACTTTTGCTTCCGTGTCTTTTAGTTGTATCGTTATCATGATCATGCTACTAACGTCATTTTGTTTGATGTAATCTTCGATGAAATTTGGTTTGGCCGAGGTAATTATATATCAATCGTGAGAAAAAATGTGGAATTTTAGCAAAATAGACATTAGAAAGGAATCTCACGCGACAATAACCTGACAAAAGTATATTTTTAGGTTCTGGGTTTCCAAGGAGAGAAGCAGGTTACAAAACGAAACTTGCTCTTTGATTTTTCACCGATATTTTTACGCATTTAATTCCCCAATACACAATAATCTCTTACTAACATAATTTATAGCATGAAGGTTGTATTCAATTACAAAATTTCACATTTAAACTAAAAAATAATCATTTGCTGTGAATAAATTTATAATTATTATGCGGTAAGATTTTCGTTGAAATATACAAAACATCAATCTACTATAAAAAATAGACAAAAATATTTATATAAGTGTGCGGAGTTAAGTGTTGCACAACAGTGAATATTACACTCACTGCAGTTCAAATCAGGGACCAAAAAAGGTGAAATAAAAAGCACCCCAAAATCTATCTATCTTTATCGTTCAGAAATCTACTATCTTTTTTCTCAATACGAGAACACACACAAAAAAAGTTCATAAGCTTTGTCGGGCACGCGGCACGCCGGCCATGTACTACAACGATTTTTCATATTCGTTTTAAGTTAAAAAAAAAAAAGTTAAAAATTTACAACAAAAATTTTCGATAACATCGAAAACGCACCATGCTAGATTGCTAGTAGTACACCATATATATGGACCGTTATTTATCCATATAATTTTTAATATTAATTTATTCTTTTAAAACATTGACTTACATAATTAATTCGGTCAAAATCAACAATTTACAAAGATCTGGGATATTAGAAACAAATAAAATGTATAATAATGTGTTTCTTTACCGGTGGTGGCCAGTGATATCTCCGTGTGATGTAACCCACCGCTACGAATTTTCAAAATCAGCATTCTAAAAATAATAATATTGATTTTTTCTTTTTTGGTAAAAATAATAATATTGATTTTTGGACATGACTTTACTATAACATATCAACATACAATTTAATTTACTTGTTTCCCGGTAATAGTATATTTCGCATATAATACCACCACAACGAAAAGGTGTGGAAAATGAATTATGATCCCTTTGTAAAAATTAAGAAAGAGTATCTTTGTTAGAACTGCGACGTATCATAGACGCGTTTTCTATTTGGAATGATACATAAAAGTTGTTTTTATTCGATTGTCTCTCCTTACTTATCACTAACACATTTTAAGATAAAAGTTGTAAATAATCCACAAGGCACGACTTTCTTCTTTCGTGAAAATTTTGTAAAGTAGGGCCATTTCATAATTACACAAGATAGAGAAGTACACGTCAACGAATTTATTAGGATTGAAATGGTAATCAAGCCGAATAGTTGTTGCAAAAAAAAAAAAAAAGGAGTACATATATAATACTAAAACGGAACTGTATAAACCTAACCGAGTGACATTATTAAAACAAGTATGTACATACATATTTGGACAACGTAACCTTGATTATTTGGAGTTTAGCTACGAACCATCTCTGCGTTAAATAAATTGGAAAAACAGGTTATTAGAAATTTTATTCGTGTTATAATTTAAGAAGCTGATCGTTTGCGAAGAACAATGGCGAAGAATTGTCGGTGAGCCGCAAGTGGAGACTCGGTCAACGACCATTTAACCGAACTTGCCTTGCGATCCGACATTATCACCGGAGATTCTGCATCTTGTAACCTTTGTCTCTCCGCCGTCCAATTTTTCGTTTTGCATCAAATTAAATTATTACACTAAATACCAAAAAATGAAAACTACTACTCCCTTAATAAAATTGGGTTTTCGTTTTGCAAGAAAATCACTGAACTTCACAGTTTCTCAGTGAATTTACTCGAACGGATTTTTTTGGCTATTAATGTTACCTGGTGTGGTGAGTTATTATTGTTCCACCACAATCATACGAACAAAACAAATTTGAAATATATATATATATATATATATGCCTTGATATAGTTAATTGAGATGATTTATATATATGCCTTGATATAGTTAATTGAGATGATTTGAAATCAGTTACCGTTCGTAACAATGCAGTAAAAATGACTTGGCAAACATTATTAAGTGTGTCCTTTTCGGGTCCTAATTACTGCATAAATGCCAAAAGCAAAATCGAGTTACCACTTTGCACGTGTAATGGACTTCGTGCATTGTACACTAAATACGTTTTTGTTTTTTTTTTTTTAAATCATAACACGCAAGTTCATGACGTCTCATCCAACAAAAACGAGTAACAAAACGCAATTAAAGGTGCGAATGGTTGAAGTGGTTGAGATGGAGAAATCTTTTTGCCGATTAACTGGTTTTTTGTTTATTATTTGGAAATTATAGTTTGTAGTGGTGTGGATCGGAAAAAAAAAAAAAAAATCTGATGCAGATTAACTACGAAAACTTTTTACGTATAAATAAACTTGGTCCACAACGGATTATTGTCCACTTCAAAAATAAAATAGTCTAGTCTGCTAATAGTTTAGTCCACTTTATTTACAACATCCATTCATAACTTAAAGGTTCAAATAGTTGTAAGTGTTAAAGCAGACAAACCCTTTTGCAATTTAGACCGTTTCGAATTTACCATTCATAAACTATAATTCGTATTAGTATGGATTAAAAAAATTAGAATAAATTCATGGTGGACTAACTACAGACTATTTTTACGTAAAGATAAATTTGGTCTACAACAATTTATTATCCATTACAAAAATAAAATAATTTAGTCCATGAACGATTTAATCTATTTTTGCTACATCATCCATCCATTCAAAGCCTAAATGCAAGAAAAGAAAAACAAAATCAAAAGAGAAACCATTTTCTACTATGTTATTTATTATTTTACCTAACGTCGCTCCGTCAATTGTCAAATCTCTAGATGGGATTTGACTCTTGTGTGAAATAATCACATTTTGATATTATTTTCGTTTTTATTTGGATATATAAAAACAATTTACCCATCATCACTCTTATATATTGTTTGTTTTTTTTTTTACTTTTAAGTTAACCGAAGAATTATTAAAAAAATCCAATACATTTTTTTGTGGATATACATTAGTTTAATCGAAGAGTACCCAATGTTATTCACTTTCATAGATTTCATTTTGTGCATGCAAATTTTAATCGCATTTAAATTACTGAAATATTGTTATACATACAAAACAACGTTGGTACTTGGTAACAATACTTTAGTAAACTTTTACATATGTGTGTTCGTAAAGGTAATTATAATTTAGTAATAATTCGATTATTTTTTTGCCACCGTATTGTTTTATAATATGAAAACTACGTATAATGCACGTGTCTTTAGTACGTCCATGCAAATGAGAGACGACGAAGACAGACGACACGAGGAACAACCAACGCTACATGAATTGGACCACTCATTTCTTTGTTTTATAAAGTATAAAATCAATGTCTCTATTTGGTTTTTACCAAAAAAAAAAAAAAATGTCTCTATTTGTTTAAGGTCGTCTGTTGTTGTTTGTGTTTCTGTTCGTAAACTAAAAGTCTTAAAACATTTGCATACAGTAAATTAGCTTTATTTTTCCAACAGAAACAAAGTTAATATTTCTTCTTAACAGGAAAACAAAATAATGATCCATTTTTTAATGAATTTCCATTCTTAGTTATAGCTCCATATATAAAATTTAATATGATAATTGAACCCACATTACATTATTGAATTAAGTTCAAAAACACTTCTGAAGAACTTTTTCTTATTATCTAGAAAACCTCTGTTGTATACGAAAACACCAAATCTTTCATCCTATCCGTCATCTAGTATTTTAGTTTTGTTAGCAGTCACCTAGTCATAAAAGTATTTCAATCCGTTTTTACGCGAGCCACTAAAGAACTTATAACACGATTCAACTATAAACGAATAAAGAAAATCATTATCTTTTTTTTTTGGGCAAAAGAAAAAATCATTATCTATGTTAGAAATTTCATATCGAAAATAAAATGAGATATAGTATAGTATGCAAGGGACATGAACTCATTCACTAATAACCAAATAATTTGGAATTAGATAATCATAAAAAATAGTCCGAAAATCATTACAATTGTAAATTACATATTAAGGTTTCATTTAAAATTTAAAAACTCGTGATTTTGATAACTTTGTGTTTGGAATGACATTTTGGTACATTATGTAAAAGTATCTGACGTTGAATAACTATTTGTCTGTTGTAGGTGTTTTCAAGAACAAATATATATATATATATATATATATACGAAGATTTTGTTGTTTATTTTCTGGTTCAACCAACACCTTTAGAATAAATAAAACCATAAATGGACTTTTTGCTGCCTAGTTATTCAACCATTAGTTGAACAACCCATTTCTCTCCGTATTAAACAAAATATAATAAACCAAATGTGCCATTTAATCCTATACTAATTACTAACACACATATTCGGGTTACCCTCTTTTATACTGCAGTGGAGTTTAGATATGTATACATATATATTTGTAATTGCCATTAACAGTTACGAATAGTAATTTAATATCCTTATACAAAAAATAAATAATTGACACCTTTCACCTGAAAAAATTACTAAGCCAGGAAAATATGGCGAGAAAACCATTAAACCAAGTGGGTGATTCATCTTTTGTTATAACCACAAGTCCACAACAGTCTCATATTCCCCACGACCAATCATATATGAAAACAAACAAACATCAAATCACTCTTTTCAAAAAGATTGTGAATTCCATTCAGATCAACAAATCTATCAGACAGATTTAACGCCCAACACACTTAGCCACAGTAACATACAAAGATTTTGTATACGGCAATCTTAAGTGCGACAATGAAGAGATTACGCACACCAGTATTATTGTACCATGCTCAAAATCCAAAACTTCTCCTCCTGTTTTTTAAAAGGCTACGTCAATATATAAAAGTTGTCTAAATAATCCAAGATGATATAGTAGTTGAAAGATTAGAATTAAAATCTTTTGACTACAATTTCAATATTGGAGCATTGAGTAAAGTATAATAAATTTGAGTATTTCATACTAACAAGAAGATGAGTTAGAGTTTGTTGAGGAATCGAGAGAGAAATGGAAAAATGTGGTGACACATGATGAAATCCAAATATGGGCCTGGTTGGTATCCATTAACAGAGTTGAAGAATAAGAGTGATTCCAAAGCCCACATTAGCGGAGCCGAATACCGTACAGTCCAATTCCGTGGGGACCTGAGAATGTCCAAGTCGACACGTGTCGTTTAATAATTAGCTATTAGAAAAACATTACTCCCTCCATTTTCTTCAATGTTTTTATTAATTAAATAAAGAAAAAGGAAAAAGAGACTCTCTCTCTCTCTATTCCTTTTTTTTTTTTTTGGTTGGGTAAACGTTGTCTTCATCTTCTTCGTCTCTCTCCCTTTTTTGCTTTACATTTCAGAAGATTAAGCATTCTTCTTCTTCTTCTTCTTCTTCGAGAGAGAGAGAGAGAGGGACAGCTCCGATAACTGCCACTGTATCTCTCTATCTCCTTCTTTAGATAACAACGGTTTCTTTGCTTTTTTTTGTTTTTTTTTGGGGGGGGGGGGCTGGACCTATTCTTCCATTGGATTTTGTGTAGAAGACTTTAAAGGCTGGGGGAATCTTGCGAGCCGTTTAAAACAAGGATAGCCAAATTCTGGAAAAGTTTCTTCTTGTTTGAATGGGCGATAAAAGAGGCAGAGAATTCGCCTCGAATTAGGGTTGATAGAGAGATTGATTGGAACATACATATTAGTGAAAGAGCTCCAATTAGGGTACTTTTGGATGTAGTAGTGTTTGTTTCAACTGAATCATTATGAGTTGCGGCGATGAGACGCGCTCCAGTGGTAACGGATCGGCGATTGATGAGAGTTTGCTTGTGGATCCCAAATTGTTGTTCATCGGCTCCAAGATTGGTGAAGGCGCTCACGGCAAAGTCTACCAAGGAAGGTCTCTCTCTCTCTCTCTCTCTCTCTCTCTCTTATGGTGCTCTTATGGATGGATGGATGATTCTTACATAAAAAAAAAAGATGCCAGGTATGGTAGCCAGATTGTTGCAATCAAAGTTCTCCACCGCGGCACCAAACCTGACGAGAAATCTTCTCTCGAGAGCCGTTTCATCCGCGAAGTCAATATGATGTCCCGCGTTCAACATGATAACCTCGTCAAGGTCCTCTTTCTTTTTCTTTTGCTCTCTCAAAGCGAAAGCACTTGTAAACCGAATGAATGAATCCAATCCTTTCGCAGTTTATTGGCGCCTGCAAAGATCCTTTAATGGTTATAGTAACTGAGCTTCTCCCTGGGATGTCCCTCCGTAAATATCTTACCAGCATCCGTCCCCACATGCTCCATCTCCGCATTGCTCTCAGCTTTGCCCTTGACATTGCCCGTGCCTTGGACTGCTTACACGCCAACGGAATCATACACAGAGACCTCAAACCTGGTGCCTTTTACCTCTTCTTTCACTATTCACTGCTCTGTTTTTTGCTGTTTGATCGACTGACTGATGATATATATATATCCAATGACCCAGACAACTTATTACTGACCGAGAATCACAAATCCGTCAAGCTTGCTGATTTTGGCCTTGCTAGGGAGGAAACCGTCACTGAGATGATGACTGCAGAGACTGGGACATACCGTTGGATGGCTCCTGAGGTTTAATTGTCCCCTCTGTCTGTGTTGTACATTATTTGATCCTGCTTCTTTTTTTTTTTTTACATTATTATAAAGCCCATGCATGTCCTCCGTAGCTCTACAGTACAGTCACGCTGCGTCAAGGAGAGAAGAAGCATTACAACAACAAAGTTGATGTCTACAGCTTTGGGATCGTGCTATGGGAGCTTCTCACTAATCGTATGCCATTTGAGGGCATGTCCAACCTGCAAGCCGCCTACGCAGCAGCGTTCAAGGTTTTCATCTTCTTCCTCCCGTGTGATTATTCACTTATTATTAGAAATCAACCCTCTTTTCTTCTTCTTGTTGCAAACATTGCAGCAGCAGAGGCCGGGAATGCCAGAGGGGATATCTCCGAGTCTGGCGTTCATAGTGCAGTCTTGTTGGGTGGAGGACCCAAACATGAGGCCAAGCTTCAGCCAAATTATCAGACTGCTCAATGAGTTCCTCCTTACCCTCACTCCTCCGCCTGAGACTGACACCAACAGGACCAACGGCAGAGCCATCACTGAGTTCTCCAGCCGCGCAAAAGGCAAATTTGCCTTCATTCGCCAGCTTTTCGCTGCTAAGAGGAACATAAACTCTTAGGTACAAGAAAGGGGCCACTGCCACTGCTTTGGTGAATAAATGACATTAGCAGAGAGAGAGAAGTAGAAAGTTAGACTTATAGGTAAAGTCTATAGCGTTAGTACTCAGTTCTGCTTCTTGGCTAGTGATTAACAACTGGTAGCATCACACGTCATACCAATTGGTCAAATGTTAAAATTTACAAACCTGTGTTTATTTATCCTCTATCTATACTTTAAACAAAAGTGAGGAGATCAACTAACAGATGTATATAGTTTTATGTTTTTTGGAAATTTTCTACAAATCATGCAGCCGCTATGTCTATATGTGCACTACATAATGGCCTAGAATATCTAATTTTAGATATTTTCTATTATAAAACTATTTCATTATATCTAGGGAGACTCACAAAAATGCCCCTTTTTCAATACCCCTTTTCAAAAATGCCCCCTTTGGCTGTCCATTTTTAAAAATACCCCTTTTTATGTACAAAATGACTAAATTACCCTTCTTTTAATAAAAGATATCACAAATATAACAAAATTAGATCCACAAAATACAAAATATTTTTTGGCGGGAAAAGTGATCCCTCAATTTTTCCCGCCAAAACACTTGTAAAAAACCTTTAAAATACCTTGTAAATTTTTCCCGTAAAATTTTTTCCCGCCAAAAAATTTTCCCGCCAAAAAATTTTTTTTGCGGGAAAAGTGATTCCGTAATTTTTTTGGCGTTAAATTTTTGGCGGGAAAATTTTTGGCGGGAAAAATTTACAAGGTATTTTAAAGGTTTTTTACAAGGTATTTATAAGGTTTTACAATGTATTTTAAAAGGTTTTACAACGTATTTATAAGGTATTTATAAGATATTATAAGATTTTACAAGCTATTTTATAAGGTTTTACAAGTTATAAGATTTTACAAGTTTTTTATAAGGTTTTACAAGTTTTTTACAAGTTATAAATTCCTTATAAAACTTTATAAGTACCTTGTAAAACCTTTTAAAATACATTGTAAAACCTTACAAAACACTTGTAAATACTTCGTAAAACCTTTAAAATACCTTGTAAATTTTTCCCGCCAAAAATTTTCCCGCCAAAAAAATTTCGCCAAAAAAATTGCGGAATCACTTTTCCCGCAAAAAAAAATTTTTGGCGGGAAAATTTTTTGGCGGGAAAAAATTTTACGGGAAAATTTTACAAGGTATTTTAAAGGTTTTTTACAAGTGTTTTGGCGGGAAAATTGGGAGATCACTTTTCCTCCCAAAAAATATTTTGTATTTTGTGGACCTAATTTTGTTTCAAATAAGGGTAAAATGGTCATTAAAAATTAAAAGAGGGCAAACTTAAAAATGGACTCTCAAAGGGGGCATTTTTGAAAAGAGGTATTGAAAAAGGGGCATTTTTAACAATTTCTCTTATATCTAAGACAAGAAACGAAGAATAAAAAAGGGAAATTTCTCTTTTATCAACTTCACTTATCTTTAAAATAAAAATATCATTATAATAAATGTAAAAATATTTATTTTCATTTTAATATCTAAAAAATATTTTATATTCGTAAATCAGTAGTATCTTTAGAGTTTACATAATATGTATATACTTATATATATAAATGTACAAGTGATTTTCTGTAGATAAGTGGCTATTAATAAGTTTAACACTACAAATTTTTTTACTTTATATTCTTACATTTTTGAAAATTGTTTTAATGATTAATATTTTTAACTTAGTTTAATACTTTTTTAGTCTTTGATGTTTCTTAAAAAATAACATTGACATACATATGAAAACTGATATCAGTAGATATATAATGACAAAGTAGAAAAATTTAAAGCTTAAAAAAACTAAAACAGTATATTAGTATAATAAATGGGTTGAAATAACTTGATTGTTATTGAAAGCAAAAACAGAAATATTTTCCATTTCAATAAAACATCCAGCTAAGTAAGGTGGAGAAAAATAAATGTAACGTATCTTTGAATACAGAAACAAAAACGAAGTTTCGATATTTGAATTTTAAAACAAAGGATGAGTAAATGCAACTTGCTTAATCTTGGTTTAATACAGATACAGAAACAACTAAGAGTGGACCTGTGTTTCCTAACAAATAGTATATGACATGTACATATTAGTAATGTTTTAAATATAAAGAAAGTATAAATCGAAACCGACGACAGAAAGTTAAGAAAATAATACCAAATAAAGAGATTAATTGATAATCTATAAGTAGAGAGAAAAGGAAATATTGAATTGTAAGGATTCAAATGGGAAAGAAGAAAAGTGATGGAGGCATAAATCTTGAGGATGATATATTAAGAATCAATGACATAAGGCAAAAAATAGTGTCAATAAGCCGTTTCCTTGAATGTTACTTTCTAAACTTGGGATTCTATACCATAATTGTGAAGATTTTTTAGACATTAATGATTAGCCCTATTGAACAATAAATACAAGCACTCTTGATCCTGTCTGATCTCATATTCACTCACAAACCCAAAAAAAAAAACACTTGTGTTCCTTTGACCATGGAACTCAACCTCTCTACACCCACATCATGTTCCTCCAGCAGCATCTCATCATCCTCGCATGAGGTCATCCCCAGGACCAAGGGTAAATTGAAAGAGAAGGTTACGGCTGAGCCATCGAAGGAGACTCCGCGGCTAGAGTTCCGTTTCCTGTTCAACGAGAGTACAAGAAGCCACCCCGGTTTTTTGGACGAGGCAGAAGGGACGAGAAATGAGGCTAAAGCGAGGGTGTTTGCTTGCACCTTCTGCAAAAAAGAGTTCTCTACGTCTCAAGCCTTAGGAGGACATCAGAACGCTCACAAGCAAGAGCGATCACTGGCTAAAAGGCGTAAAGAGATCGAACTCAACTATCCTGGACTCTCCTTCTACAGCCAGTATCCGCCAAGTGGAGTTTCCTACAGCAGCAGTTCCTCCCAGTATGATCTCGGGGTTCGTTACAATCCTAACATTGCTAAAACTAAGCCCTATCCGTTCAACATCTTCACATGTCGACTCGGATACAGAGGCCTTAATATCCCTCTGCTGTCTCACCTCTCGGTTCCAAAGACGGACGATTTGTCCAAAAACTTGATTTCAAATCTAGAGGGCAGCATTCAGGACCAAGCCGAGAAAAAAGATCAACCCGACACTGATCCTTCCAAGGATTCTGACATAGACTTGTCCCTGAAGCTATAGATTGCAAGTTTTTAGGAGGGTTATATTTTATTAGTTGTTCCTTGATTCTGCATTTCTTTCTTACATTGTGTTTTTAAATCGTAATGTTTAATCTTCTATAATTTTTCAGAAAAAAAAAAAAACAAGTGACTTTGAATTCCATGGTCTTCTACTTGATACACTAGTTTTGTATTAATTAACTTCTGAATTTCAAAATTTAAAAGCGTTTTTGTGTAGATAACTGCTAATTTGATATCTTAATGATACATAAAGACGACAATATATGGGAGATTAATCCTTTTAATATTTGAAATTCAGCAGTTAATATCATTTAGTAATTTGATCGTGTTACTAGTATTAGACAAGATGCAGAAGAAGTAAAAACCGACACTTTTAAGCTACAACTAAACAGCTACTCGTACTTGTTAAATGATCTAATTATTTACTCATCCTCCCCAAGACTAAAATTAGTGTTGAAGTTTGTGGATATATATATAGAGGGAGTACATTACCTATCAAATACAAAAATCCTGAATATGAACATAGAAGATTGCAATCTAAAGATGATCGGATGCAAGTGGGTCGAAGTCTTGTGGTAAATTCAGACAGATTTTGTGATGTGAGTTAAAACTTGTTGTCAGGATAGGGTTTAAAGGTTTTAAAGAAAAGGTTATTGTAGTTGAGATTTCTCTTGAAGTAGACAGCAAGAAAGTTACAGATTATGCTCACTCAAGCATTCATGAGCTTCAAAGCTTGAAGATGGACTACACATTTGGCTAGCCTCGAGAATCTAGTTTGGCGACTCGACTTCTATAAATCACAGTTCTTTATAAATTCAAATTTAAACATCTAATCTGTTCTATTTAAGGGTGCATATAATTGTATAAACAAGTTTTTTTGGGTTGAATAAATTTTACGTTCATTAAAAAAAAAAAGGTTACAATAGAACGAAAGGACAAAATGTGCTAGGTAAACAAGTTCCTCAGGATGAAGTGTAAAGAGCAAAGTCCTCTCTTGGGATTGGAGCTTAGTAGGTGAAGGTTGCATTCAATTATCCTCAACTAATAGCATTCACTCCTCCGCCCCTCAACCACCCACCATACTCTCTTGTCTGAGGTTATATAAACCTCTTTCTCACTACTATACTAAGCAACATAGTAAGCAGAGGCAAGAGAGAGAGAGAGAGGAGAAAAAAGAGAAAGATAGAGAAATGATGAGAGTTGTGTTACCGCTATGCCTGCTTCTTGCTTCCATGTTTGCAAGAGGTTCTGAAGCAGCCGTGTCTTGCAACGCGGTACAGGCCGACCTTTACCCGTGCCTTGCGTACGTGGTGCAGGGAGGAAACATTCCGCAAAGCTGTTGCACGGGCATCAAGATGCTCAAGCAACAGGCAAAGAGCGCATCAGACAGGCAAGCTGTGTGTCGCTGCATCAAGTCTGCGGTGGGAAGAGTGTCTTACTCGTCAACCTATCTCAAGAATGCTGCCACTTTGCCAGGCAAGTGCGGTGTCAAACTTCCATACAAGATCGACCCTTCCACCAACTGCAACAGGTAAACAACACACATGCTTTCACATTTTTTACTAACCAATTCAAAGATATTTATATATTCTCTGTTATAATAAGTCATCTATGTATACAGCATTAAATGAGAGAAAGAAGCTACGGCAAAGACCAAGAATAAAGGACATTGTGTTTCGTCTAATGTAACCGGAGTTTAGTGCTTTTCAGCTTCTTACTAATATATGTTGAACAAGCAGTGCTCCAATATATCAAATATAATCTTTAGTCTACATCTTTTTATTTTCACGCAAATTAAGTCTTGACTGATTTTATTTCTTTGGACCTTTTGGTATTTGAATCCAAACCCTACTACAAGTACAACAAATACACGACACTTAAAAAAAAATAAAAAAATCCAAACCTATGAATAAACAAAAACAAACTAAAATAAAAACTGTAAGAGTCCCGGCCTCCCGGGCATTTCGGCCTCGGGGCAATATACACACATGGCCACCAAGGGGGGGATATGGGTTGAATATGAGGCCTGGATCTGGACGTCAAGTATTTAAGTGGCCCTCCGGTTGTGTAATCAACCCCTTATGTCGATGAATTCACTCCTTTGTCAGAGACTCAAGTGTATTAACAGATTTGCTTCCAAAAGCAAAACAATAACCTTGTTGCGAAACCAAAAATATATGTGCTGCCGAGTGCCGACTCCTTTTGTTTTTTTTTTTGGGTCAACATCAACTTATATAAACCAACAAGACTTGCATTTGTTTATCCATCACTACAAAGTACAACTTGTATAGTACGACTTAGGATCATAATTTTGCAAACAAAGAGATTCATGTGCAATTAACTTTTAGCTTACAATCATACTTTCAGTTTCATTTTTATGACATAACAAAAAGAGGATAATGGCATATGATGTTATCATTCACTATATTCGTCATCTATCACACAATCTAGTTCTCACCAAGACATCAAGCTCTTGGATAGAAAATGAGCTAGTACCCAAGAAACGTGCGTGGGAGTCACCAACCTGGTTCGCTTACATAACTTTGTAATAATAAAAAAAGCAATAATTGAAATGACGCTGACGCAGGCGTATCATTGAAAATATGAGCGTAGTGGGCGTTGTTATGATTCACCAAATAGTTTGTTGCCACTTCTGATGATTTCATCCTTAAAGATTGTTTCTTCTCAGTGCTTTGTTTTTTTTTGGTATGCCTCTCAGTGCTTTGTTGTTGTATTATTCACCTTCTTCTTTTCCTTTACTTTATAAAGAAGAAAAAAAAAAAAAAAAAAAAAACCTCTTTATTATTCACTTCTTTTTTGATATATAAGATTACATGCACAAATCCTGATCCGAGAGGGACCCAACACAGTTACATTTGAAACTGACGCATATATATATATATATATGTACACACAAATGCAAGTCATTTATGTATATATATCTCTTCTCCTCTTTAGAGACAGACAAAAAATATCCCACAAGTGTCTTATTCTCACTTGTGAATTATTTTTGTTTTTCTCCCGTAATTAATATCTACAAAATTGTTTGTTCATCCACACATATATAAGCAAAATATATGCCAAATAAGAAGAAAAAAAAAAAAAAAAAAGGAAGGTCCCCACTTTTGTCTTAAAAGATAACCACAAACCGCAGAGAGAAATCAAATAGACAAACGCAGTTTAACTTGAAGAGTCCTGTCCTCCACATCATCACGTCTCTCCCACACACAAATTTAAAGAAGACACAATTGACACCGGAGACTCCTCAGATGCATCGACTGCTACTGGAATCCCACGGCGGCGGGAACGAGACGAGCGGCGGCGGCGGAGATGGGTACATGAGAGACATGAACTTCGACGCAAACATGGTGATCATACTTGCAGCTCTTCTGTGCGCGTTGATACTAGCGCTTGGGCTGAATTCGATTCTCCGATGCGCGATGCGATGCGGTTTCGGGTTATCATCCTCTGCAGCGGGAGGGGCGGTGGCCGACAGAAGTGGATTAAAGAAGAGAGAACTGAAGAAGTTTCCTGTAGCTGCGTACGGGTCGGGGGAAGTGAAGATAGCGGCGACGGAATGCGCAATCTGTTTGGGAGAATTCGCGGACGGCGAGAGAGTCAGAGTGCTGCCGCCGTGTAAGCACAGCTTCCACATGTCATGCATCGACACGTGGCTTGTCTCTCACTCTTCATGTCCCAATTGTCGGCATTCACTCATCGAGGTCCACGTGGTGGGATCAGAGTGATTTAATTATCGTGGTGGGGTTAGGTTGGCAGTAGTAATCATAATTAAGAGTTTAATGGCTAGATTATCAATTAATGATATGGGTACGTACAATCTCTTTACTCTTTAGTCTTCAGTTCGTACGATTTATTTACTACTACTCCCTATGTTTTAGTAGCGTATGTTTTAAAAGATACGAATGAGGCCGAACTACTTTGGGCCGTTAGTAGAAAAGCCCATCTTGGTGTTTGTTAGGCTTAGGTTATGTCGCCGCCCTAATTGACAAGTGAGAGAGATGAAGATGATGGTGAAAAAAAGGAGAGGAGGTGATGGTGTGGAAGCTTAAAGTAAGTGTGAGAGCCAACGGTTTCAGTTTGAAGCTCCATCTACGGAACCGGATCTCGTTTCAACGAGTGTCAATCCTCTTAAGATTCCGAAAGCAGCAGCATCATCATCTCAAATCCAAACACTCAGATTGCGGCAGATGCCTAGGGAGTCTTCTTGCTCTCTTCCGTAGACGAAAACGGAAGAAGAAACTCATGGAATTGGTTTGGAATCGAGCGGTGGCAAAGAAAGCAAGAGGCGTGGGTGTTGTGGTTACCCTCATCCTCGTAATCATCATCAATTATCTAGTGCCATCACATTCATGGATCAGCAGCGAATCATTCCGATTAGATTGTTATGAATTGTTTGGTAGTATTAAATAAATAAAAGAAGCATTTCCCACGAACGAACGAATTCTTCTTGTCTGTCCTCCTTTTTGGACCATTATTGTAACCTCTTTCAACATTTCAATCTCTCTAATCGGAAAGAGGAACATACATACTATCAGTCTCTCTCACTCCTCTCTGTTGGTCATAGGCCCAAAGCATCCTCGTTTCTATGGGCTACCAGGCCCAAAACTGTGCAAAATTTCTGATTGATTTATTGGACCCATTTCTTGCCTCGGCGAAACAGAAAATGGCGGGAAGATGGACTTGTTTTTTTTTTTTTTTTTTTTTTAAGATGGACTTGTTTCGTAATCTGTATCATCATCTCCTTGACATCAAAGTATGGAAGTTGATGTTTTCCATACTTTATCTTATTATACTTCATCCCCAATTTACTTACTACTATTAGAGTGAGTTTGCGTGTCACTTTTGTTTTTGTTTGTGGGCAGAGCTTCTTCATGTGAAAATTAGGAACTATGTCAATCAGCACAGTCGAGACAACCTTTCATGCTGGCATGACATCTCTGTAATCCTTCTCCTCTTTTTTTTTTTTTTATCAGATGGAGGGAGCAAATGTCTTTAAAGAGACCAAGCAATCGCATACAAAGACGGCTCTCGGTTTGCTTTCATGGACTTAAATTCAGGGATAGGTGCCTTTATATGTAGCCTCTTTTCGTTTTCTCACCTATTACTGCCTCGTTTGTTCATAAGAGGTAATGGATGGTCACTTTGCAAAGTAGTCCAGCGCTTACTTAATTACAATTGTTTTGATCTTTGCACACAAATGTTGATGTTGCTCCATTAGTCCATATCCACACTGCATACATTTTCTTATTAAAATATATAAACCGAAGCCTTTGTGGAGGAGATGGAGCCGAGAAGGTGTTTTTGATAGTGGACGCAAAAAAAGTGGAACAACAAAAGTTGTAATGGAGTTTAAATTTTAACGTAAATTCAAAAACAAAAAAGTAAGGTAAGGAATATATAAACTATATATATATATTGTAATGTGCTTTTAGTGTTTAACGAGGAGAATAAAGGGGAGACACGACATGAGAAAAGCGAAGACATAATGATATTAAAATGCACTAAGAATTGCTAAAGGGTGATTGTGTCTGAATCGTCTGTACGCTAAGGTAACTTTATTTTGACATACGTTTCTCCGGTCCGGACCACCATGTGTGATGAGTAATGTATGCATGGCTTAAATGAATGAGAGTGTATGCACATTAGCTGACAAAAGTAAAAACTAAAAGTTGTGGGAGTACTGAAAAGGGATGAGTAAGTGTGTGGGTCACTCCATAACTATACAATAATGAAAGCATTACAGAAAAAGCTCATGCTTGGACCCTTTGGGACTTTCACTTCACAATGGTGGACTTCTCTTTTCGCTTTATCGTTTATGTCTTTATGGAAAAGAACAATCAAAAAGCCTCTGAGTAATGATTATATATGAACATATATTACTAAAATTTGTGACAGTGTGAGCCTCTGAGTTATGCTTAGTGCGCCTGACTGACTTTATACCCTTTCAAATTTATGTATAGAATCATGTTTTCTATTTTGCGTCATGGTTACTGAATAGAGCTAGTAAATGTATTCAAATAAAGCGTCCAAAATAGCAAACCGAGAAACCTTAACAGAGAGGCTTCAAGGAGGTAGTCGTATGTGGAATAGAGAGTTCCTTTGACCAATCACTCTTTTTAGAGTAACATAAGTTGATCTTTTGGATCTACTTTATGAACCAACCTTCAACATTGTGATTGCTATGAAACCAAGTGTAAATAGATTCACAACTTAACTGGTGAACTCACGAGAATAACCTTTTTTAGAAAAGACGAACACTATATTATGATAATATATGAAAATTGAAAGGAATGAAGAAATACAAGCAAGGAGGATTGCTTCATCCGTAGTGGATGAATCACTCTAAGTCATGAGAGGGACACTGTATGAGCTCTAATATCTTCACTACTTCTTCCATCTCCGGCCTATTCGACGGCACTTGGGACCCACATACCAGCCCTAGTTTAATCACCGGTATTGCCTCCTCCGCCGGAAAATTCCCTCTCAACCGAGGGTCTACGCACTCCTCCACCCTCCCTTCTTCTAACCCTTCTCTCACCGTCTCACACAGCACCACTACGTCGTCCTCAGCGTATTCCACAGGCCTCTTCCCTGTCACCACCTCAAGCACCAGGATCCCAAACCCGTAAACATCGCACTTGTCGGTTATCTTGACTGTCCGGCATGCAAACTCCGGGGCTGTGTACCCCAACGCGCTCTGTACCTTGCCACTCAAGACACACCTGTCCAGCGCCGAAGCCAACAATCTGGCCAGCCCAAAGTCAGAGACTTTAGCCTCCCCTGTGGCGTCTATGAGCACATTCGTTGCTTTCAGATTGTAGTGAGTGATGTTACTGCTATGCAGATAAGCAAGACCTCTTGCTATACCTAGAATGATGCTGAAACGTTGACGCCACGTCAGGCAAAGGCTCTCATCTCCGTGGAGATGTCTGTACAAGCTTCCGCCTGAAACAAACTCGTGGATCAAGAGCTGCAGCGATTGCGTCCAATAGTACCCTTTAATCTCCACCACATTCCTGTGCCTCAGCTTCCCGAGTTTTCTCATCTCTCGCTCGAACTCCTCCTGCGACTTTATTAGACCCGACACAGTCAGTTTCTTGACTGCAACAGGACGCCCATCCTGGAGGTTCGTTTTGTACACGACTCCGAACCCGCCTCGTCCCAGCTCGCAGTCCTTGTTGAGCAACGCATCAGCACCTGTGGTGTCAAACACGTCCGCTTCGCCAGAGAACATCACCAGCTTTCCGAATTCTTGATCTTTACTTGGGGAACAGCTGAACGTTTCTCCAACCGACAGAGCGAGAGCAGCAGCTGCATTGTGACGGGAAAGATTAGATCGGGCGTGCACGTTGAGAAGAGTTACAGCCACCACCCCGATGGCAATGAAGGCGGCTGCGCCAATCGCAATGAGCGCAGATATGCTCAGAACGCTCTTCCTGATCTGCCCGGTGAGAGCAGGACCATTGGTTGGATTGGAGGAGTTGGGGTTGAGGACGATTGGTTTGGGGTGGACAGAGAGACATGAGCGGTTCACAACGGAGCCACAGAGGGATGGGTTTCCAGCGACGGCAGAGAGAGGGATGGTGTTGAAAAAACCTCCAGCTGGCAGCTCCCCTGTGATGCTGTTGTGGGAGATGTTGAAGGTCAAGAGATGCGAAAGTTTCTCTATTTCTTTTGGTAGGCTTCCCGAGAGATTGTTTCTCGACAGGTCAATGTACTCAAGGTTGCTCAAACTGCCAATGCTCCCCGGAATCGCACCGGATAGTTCATTCTCCGACAGATTTCTGCACAACCACAAATTGCTACATTAATACTGAGAGAGGCGGTTTTAAACACAAAGATTCAGAAAGGTAACAGTCAATTGCAATTGACATTGTTGACAACTACTTACATTGCGTTTAAAGCCGAACAGTTAGAGATTTGTGCCGGAATCTGGCCGGAGAGGCGGTTTCTCTGGAGATGAAGTTTTTTTAGGGAGACGGCTCCTCCGATCTCAGAAGGAACAGTTCCGTTGAGAAGATTACAACTCAGATCAAGAATCTCAGCGACTTTCAATCCTCCAACGCCGGTGGGTATGGAACCGAACAGAGAGTTGGTGGACATATTCAGCTGCAACAAACTTGTGAGGATCCAAATGTTAGACGGTAACTCACCGGAAAACCCGTTAGAAGACAGATCGAGGACCCGGAGACCTTGAAGGAATCCGACGATTGGAAGAATGGTGTCGTTCCCTGATCTTTTGTGGAGGCTAAATCTGGAAAGCGAGGGACTTTCAGAGTTTCCGGTGAACATCCACTTAAGCACATCTCCTGTGAATGAATTCTTACTGACATCAATGGAGATTAGGTTGGAGCAGTTGGAGATGGTCTGCGGGAGCTCCCCAGCGAGCATGTTTGCGGATAGATTGAGTTCCTTCAAAAACTCGAGATTTCCGAGGGAGGATGGGACAGTGCCTGAGAAGTTGTTGGCGGAGAGATCAAGAGTCTCGAGAGTGGCGACGTCACCGATCCAATCAGGGATTTCTCCGATGAGAGAGTTTCCTCGCAGTCGGATGGAGCGGCAAGAGCCCAGGCTTTTCATGGAAGCCGGAAGATTCCCGGAGAAGTAGTTCTCACTCAAGTCAAGCGATTTCAGGGAAGGACATCTTCCGATGTCGGAAGGAACGTCACCGGAAAACCAGTTTCTGGATAAGTTAAAGAGACGGAGATCGTAGAGACCGCCGAGGCCATCGGGGATATCTCCTTGGAGGAAATTGACAGATAAATCAAGGGACTTTAAGCTCTTGAGGAACCAGATATCTCGTGGTAATCTCCCAGAAAGTTGATTGCTTGAGAGGTTAAGATGAATGAGAGTAGAACAGTAGCTGAGGGAGACAGGAAGAGGACCTGTGAGTTTGTTGTTGGCCAAGGAGACGGACCTCAAGGACCCGCATTGCTCGAAGAACCCGTCTGGGATCCGACCCGAGAGGCTATTGCCGCTGAAATCGACGACTTGGAGGCTGCCGAGGTGAGGGAACTCGGGGTTTAGGGTTCCGGTGAGGTTGTTGTTGGAGAGGACCAAGGTGTGGAGGAACTGGAGACGGAGAAGGCCACGGCCGATGTGACCGGAGAGAGAGAAGGAGTCAAGTCGGAGCTCCGAGACCCGATTGGAGGCAGGGTCGCATGTGCAACCGACCCAGTTGCAGGGATCGTAGTCTTCGGAGTTCCAAGAAGAGAGCTTAGAGAGAGGGTCGTCGAGTCCAGACTTGAAAACGATGAGACCCAAAACGTCGTCGTTGAAAGTCGGGTCTGCCGTCGCTGAAACGGCAAGGAAGAAGAGGAAGAGGAGTGAAACGGCGTCGTTGAACAACATTTCCGGAAGAGGACCAAATCCAACAAATTTCAAAGAGTAAAGTAGCGAGCGAGAGGAAGAAGGCAAACAAAGAAGAAAGAAGGCTAGTCGGCCATGGCCATGGATGATGCAGAGCTCAAGTAAGGTTGATGCTGGCGGATAACAAAACCGACCACCTTTGTACCGGAAAAAATA